TATTACATAGGACAGTGTCTGATCATAGTAAAAGCTCAGTATTTGCCTAGTGAATGGTTTTCAGAGCCATGGTTATGTTGGTCTGACATCTATGAACATGCCCATTTGGCAGGGTTTCTCTAAAACTATTATAGAGTATGTTCTAGCCAAGTCCTAGAATATTGGATGGTTCTCCTTTGGTGAAAGCCTGGCATATTATGATGCAGCCCAAGCCAGCCCAACCTGTTTAGTAGGAAAAAAAATCACCATTACTCAACAATACAGCATCACAGATCTCGAGATATGTGCCACGTTTCTAATGGTGGAATCACATGTTTCAAAGGAAATGGAGAAAGTGAATATAAGATATCAAACTGGGAAATCTTTTAAGATGGGGTATACCTAACCTGAACTCACATTTTTTGGTTTTGGAGACAGATAGACAGTTCAAAGCTCTTTTGTGGCATGAACTAGCTCTGGGACCTTTGTCAAACTGGTTCATTTTACTGAGCTTTAGTTTCCTCACCAGTAATATGTAACTAATAAGATCTATGTTGCAGGGTTGTCCTGTGGATTGAGAGAAATATGTAGAGTGGCAATTTTTAACATTTTTCATCTCATGGCACATATAAACTAATTAGTGAAATTCTGCAGCACAAAAAAATATTCCTGACCAATCTGACCAAAAGTAGGTATAATTTTGATTGATTTGCAAAAAAAAAAATAGTAATTACCTATCCTTTTTGCTCCAGAGTGACTTGAAAAAAAAGTCAGGTGCTTATACATGTATATAAGGATTTCTGGTACCAAGAATTAACCAATCAGATGTAACCTTATTATGCAATGTGGCCAATAAGATGCAACTCTATCATATGACCTATATATTTATGGTTCAGTACAGGACATTTATATCAAATGACAGCTATTATTGTGTTGGCTGCTGTCATTTTTTAATTTTACAATCTAAGGGAAAAAAGGTCAGTGCCCCTGACTAAATAGTCAGGTGTTGCATGTTTTAAAAATTCTTGCAGCACGCCTGTTGAAAATTGCTGGTATAGAGGCCTATAATAGACTTTAATAAATGCTATTATTCTTACTTTATAACCTCTTCTCATTTGCCAAATGTTTTCACCTAAGATACAATGAAAGTAAAAAGCTTGCAGTAACACCATACAATAAAATACAATCAATAATATTTTTGTTCTTTTATAGCTGGCTTATTTCACTTAACGTTTTCAAGATTCATCTATATTGTAGACAGTTATATTTTTAAATCAAATTTTTCTGAGTGAGAAATCCTGCAATACATAGTTCTTTATGACCATTGGATTCGTATCTTTTGTGCATACCTTCTAGTCAAGAACAGAAATACTTTTACATTTACTCAAATATTTGTGTCCATTAGAAGCATTTTGGTTGTCCTCATAGAGATCTTGCGTAGATATGTTAAATAAAACTTTTTTAAGTTGGCACTAAAAAAAAAACTAATAGTTGAACACAAGTGGTATCATTTCTAAATTACAGTCATTCTTCCAATTTGTAAAATTGGAAGTTTCATTAAAATTCCACAAGGCGGCAGACTAGTTCCACTAGATCTGGTTTACTGAAATGCTTTAAACACATTTTAGACATTCCTAGTATTGGCATTGCAAAGTATAAAAAAACTTCCTAAGTCAACACAAGAAATCTATGAGGTATTCTCTCCTAGAAACAGCTTTACAAATGATGGTTAATTTTATAAATCAGTTAAAAAATCTTACCATTAAATTAGTTGTAACAGAATTACAGAATTTTACATTTAAAGGGAACTTAAGAAATAATTTATTTAATAATATAATTCTTTTCCAAATGCAAATGTCTTTGTTCTTGGCTTTAAAAAAAACACAACAGTGGGAATTTAAAATGGTGCAGATGCTATAGAAAATGGTATGGTGGTTTCTCAAAATATTCAACATATAACTATATATGATTCAGCAATTTCACTTCTGGGTACATACCCTAAAGAACCAAAGCAAAGACTCAGACATCCATGTTCATAGCAGCATTATTCACAGTAGTCACAAGGTGGGAGAAATCCTTTCTAATCAATGGATGAATGGGTAAATAGAATGTGGTATGTCCGTACAATGGAATATTGTTCAGCCTTAACTAGGAAGGAGATTCTGACACATGCTACAAATGGATGCAACTTACAGACATTATACTAAGTGGATGAGCCAGACTCAAAAGGAAAACCATCATACAATTCCACTTATATGATGTACCTAGAATAGTTGCATACATAGAGACAGAAAGTAGAATTGTGGTTACCAGGGTCTGGGGGTGGGGAGAATGGGGAATTATTGTTCATTGGGACAGAGAGTTGGTATGGGATGATGGAGTTCTGGAGATAGATGGTGGTGATGGTTGCACATGTGAATGTATGTAATGCCACTGAATTGTACATATAATAATGGTTAAATGTTAAATTTTATGTGTATTTTACCAAAACAACTATGGAATTATGGGAATTTTGCTACCTCTTTTAATTTTCATTATACTTTTTATAGTATTATATGGGACGTCCAAGATCACTCCATTTTTGGAGTTGTAGCTTTTCTTTCTGGTCTACTGAGTTCCTCTCTCTGCACTTTATCCCTTCTTCCTGCTTTTCTTAAACACTTGACTTCATAGGATGGGGCTATTCAAGAAGACTAAGCTTTAAATAGACTTCCTGAATTCTAAAAATATGCTGGAGTGTTTTTCTTTAGTCCTGAATTATTTTATTAAATTTCTGATTTAATTGTGATTCTAAGTTTTTTCTTTAATCTGTTGACATGATCTATTATAGTAATGGGTTTTCTGATGAACTGTTCTTGCATTCCTAGGAACACCTTACTTGATCATATTACATAGTGTTGAGTTTGATTTGCTATTTAGGATTATTGTATCTACATTCACATTCACTTTTCATTTGTATCCTGTTAGATTTTTTTGAGGTTCTGGAATTTTATCCAACTTAAAGCTGCAAGTTAGCTGTTACTATTTCATGGGTAATGACGGAAGAATGAGACTCCAGGGACAGAGGACTTCTTTAGCTCACAGCATAGCAAGTAGTGTGAGCATCATTTGCATCAGGACCTCTTCACTGCCTCCCCACAAGTCCTGCCGAAGCAAAATAAAGGGTCTCAGGTGGATGCAGCACAAGAGTTTGTGAGGCAGCTGAGCTTGCAGAACTCACCTGTCATACAAGGCCGGGTCTTTGTCTCAGACCTCCTTCTTCAAGGTCATTCATGATAAATGGCCTGGACAGCGAAATACAGCTAGCAAAAATGTGTAGGGAGTCTTAAAGGGTCCTAGCTAGATTGTCTTTTTCATCATAGTTTTATATGAAGGTTACACTAACCTCAATGAACACAATGAACATTCTTTTTCTCTAATCCCAGAAAATATTTCTATAAACTAGGGATTTATGTGTTGAAGTTTTGGTAAACAATGCAAACAATGCTTTGTTTTGGAGGGAGGGGAGAAGTTTGGTATGGTGACCATGTAACACTAATAGACTTTTTTCTGAGTGAAAATTAATCCATAAAGTTCTCAAATACAGAGTCTGCTTTTAGGATTTCTTGAACCTATTCAATACTATTGTATATGAGGGGAGACCCCCAGGAACAGAATTTATTTACAAAATGTTTCATCTCTTCATGTTGGCAAAACATTTCTCTTTGAGGGGGCTTTTTTTATTCTGGGGAAATGACAAAAACTCTCTAGGGATGAGATCAGGTGACCAGGGAGAAGGAGGGCACAGGGGTCATGCTGATTTTGGTCAAAAACTGCTGAACACCCAAGAGCGGTGTTGGCAGGTGTGCTCATAAATCACTCATCACGATATGGGCAAATATGTTGAAAGTCTGCAAAAAAAAAAATTCACCGAAGCTAAACAGCCTCTCACACCACCACCAGCGGGTACACTGATGGATGGGTCCCTAGAACACAAATCTAGTGGGGGAAACCTGTACTACAACGGGGCTCAGCCTCCAGGAGATAATTCTGGTTTTCCTTGGGGGGTCCCACCTAGTATCTTTATTTATGCCTGCTTTTTCATTGCAGATTATTTCTTTTCATGCCTTTTCTATCAGTCTGCACCCCTAACCCATCTCCTCAAGGGTAAGTTTTTGGTCCATATTTTAATCTGCCTTTTCCTCTAATCTCCATTCTCCCCCACACGAACCATGGGAACCAATTACTACTTAAATCTTCTACATGTCCACTAATGGGTTCAAACTGGAGTAGGAGCTATTGTTCCTATTCATCCTATTTTGTGGGCTGATCCATCACACCTTCCTTCTTGAGAATCTCTGTGAAAGGAGTAGGTACAAAAGTCTGTGTTCCCCAAACTCGAGGAACATTTCCAGGTATTCCAGAACTCCCTTGCCTTGCACTGATCTGGCAGTGGCACTAGGGTCGTCTGTGGACTTTGGCAGCAGAGTAATCAGTCAGTTAGAGGTGCTTCATCTCATCCTTCAGGCACCCCCGACTCCAAGAAACTCTCGTTACCCACGCCCATCCCTTTCATTTGGTTTGGGGAACAAAATGCTCATCCGGCTGTCCCTCAGTAGGCCCTAGGTGGGGTATAGGGTCTCATCCAATTACTTCTGATTCTCTTTAGAGTACAGGGTATGAATGCTTCTCCTTTAGCTTAAGGTTCTCATTATTAAACAGGGATAACGTGGAACAAACTGTGGATAAAGAATTTAAAATTGAATAAGGCCACCCAATACAATAATATAAATAAACTGATAAGTATACTATAACCTAGATTATACTGAAGAAAATCTGATACCTCATATACAGAGGAATGGAAAGTAGAATGGTGGCTACCAGGGACTATGGGAGGAAGAAATAAGTTCTTTAATGGGTAGAGTTTCAGTTCTGGAAAGTGAAGAGTCTTGAGATGCACTGTACAACAGTGTGAATATACTTAAAATTACTGAACTGCACACTTAAAAATGGGTAACATGGTTAAAAAAAGACATCTAATATCAAGTTGACATGAGATTTTATTTTGTAGAAAAACAACATCTAGAGAATGCCACAGACAGCCCTAGTATATCTAACGTACTGTTTATAAACAGGAAAATTACTCATAATAACAACACTGAAGCACTGAAAGATACCAAAGGACTTCCTGAATCCAGAAGTCAAATTATACTCAATATGGTTTTAATATCCTTTTTTCAAAGTTATAATATACTGACATTTGATAAACCAGATAACCATCCAAATATAACTTTGAGCAATATATAACTTGGTGGTATCTAAGTCTTCTGGGAATATATAAACTTACTCATAGTCATTTGATATATCTCCACGCAAATATTTTAAAATTCAAATTTCTTGGTCAAGTGATACAGTGTTTGAATTTGAATATATTTAGACGTTTCCATTATACAAAGTTAAATGTACAACTAAATTAGTAAAAGTGCTCATTATGGTTTTATGGGAACATTAATACTGCAACAAAAATGTTTATGAATGTACTCTATACTTTACTAATATTGCCTTTTTAATTTAAATCTAAATTTCCCTTCTATTTTATAACCACTTTTGATTTCTTTTGTAAGAAATTTATGCCTTAATTTATACATATTTTTTTCCTCCTTATTTCTTAGCTTAAATTCAGTACAAGCTTTATTGATTGGTATCTTAGGCTTCGTGTGTATTCTTAGTTCTAAACACCACCAGTTCTTCAGAGGCCTAAAATCCAGCACAGGAATTACTGTATTAAATTAGTTCTAGAAAAAACATTGATATTTTTCTTGACATATACAGAACATATCACGCCAAATCTCTTGTTTACACAATGAACTGGTAAAACTGGTAAATTGCACATATAGTTTATATTCCAAAAGTAGAATAACTTAAATATTAAAACGTACCTTTATGTTTCTACCATAAGTGACCTTATAAGCATAACAAATAGCAATATTCAATACAAAAATCACAAAAACACTAACCTTAAATACTGCCTATCACAGCATACACTCTCATCTTCCTATGACCTATTCAAACTATAGACAGCAGTTTTTTAAGCTACTCTATCATTTATACCCTAATTAGAAATTTATACGAAACACAATTTTGTGTTCAAATATGGAAATAAGCAACATAATTCCAAATCCCAAAAGCATCCCAGCATTCTGTAAAAGGAAATATCCCCAGCGGCTACATCCATGGTCACTAGCATCATTGTGTAGCATCTCAGGTACCTTAGAAAAAGATAAAAAGAGCAACCTTTAAGGTTTCAAAACCACAGATTAGTTTTTACAAGCCTTAGCAAGACAGCATATTCGTATTATATGTAGCTGGATATATTGATCAATTCCTTAAAACATGACCATACACATACTGATTTTAGCTAGTAACGTCACATAGCATTTCCTAAAAGTTTAATTAACAATGATTATTTACGATCTGCTTAGCAAGTCAGAGTTCTCTGATGACAGAGATCTGACTGCTTTGTCTATTAATAAAGAACTTTTAAGCATTCACAGTACACATAACATGCTAACAATAAGTGACTTTCCTGGGCTTCCTACAAATCTATACACAATTCAAAGCATGATTGCTGAGATTCTACTCTCACAAAGGGGTACATACAGAGGGGGTAGATATTTCTCTGTATCCTCTTACACATTAGACAGGATAAAGATGTGCATGTGATCAACAATCCAAAAAGATAAACCCTAAAGGTACTATATATGGTACTTTGCTGAGTATAGAATGACTTCTTATCACTACTGCACTTAATCTAAAGCCTTTTTAAAAATAAGGTTTCACAAAACATTATCTCTATTTTATTGTTAGTCAATATTGTAATTTGACATCTTAAAAACTTACCATATCAACCAGGGCAACATACATGAATAAGCCAGCAGTAAGTGCAAATATCCACATAGAAACATTTTCAGCATAATGACCAATGAAAATTCCTGTTGCCATTCCAAGATATGCCAGCATGGCTGACAAAGCATTATAAAGAACAGCCTGCTTAACAGTCATGCCTGCCTTTAGTAACACAGCAAAGTCACCTTTAACAGAAAACAAAGCAAAGGATAAAGCAATTGAAAAACCATTTTAAAAACACATACCCAAAAGATGCCACAGATTTAAGGAATTCTCCAATTTTTTAAGAGGAAGAGAAAAGCAAAAGTGTAAACCTAACAGCTCTATAAACTAAGATTTTTTTTTATTCAAAGTTTTTCTTAAGGCTCACACTTTGTTAGTGAGTGATAAATACCACAAACCTACTATTATTATGCTCTTGCACTGTCTTCAAGAAGCTCATAATTGGCCAAAAAAAGGAGGAGAGTGGCAAACACTCAAGAAAAGATCAGCAAATTGTAAAAGCAATTTGTAATTAAGAGCTAGAGTTTAATGTTCTCCTTATAAGACAACATAACATAAATTAAGATGGGACTAATTAAGGTTTCATGGAGTCTGAAGGATCCAGAATGGAGAACATAAACTGATGTTAAATATAAGCATTAAGGAGGCAGATGGGAAGCCTTCTGAATGGCAGGCACGTGCCAAGGAACAAAAGTGAAAATGGTGTCATGGTTGTGTGCAATATGTGACTATAAAAAAACCCAAACAAACAAAGGAACAAAAAAACCCCAAGGACATGAACTAGGGTCCAGAACAACTCTGGGAATGTTTTTTTATCAGCTCCAGTGAGATTCTCTGTTAATGGAAGATGATTCATTTAATTCCTGTGGTCTAATTTATATTGTGTATATGAAGATAATGATCACTGAGGTCAGCAGAATGTTGGCATAAGAAAATATTTAGTAGGATAAGAGTGACAAAGATACTTCTTCGGCAACCCCACATACGCAATTGTGGGGCAATTGTGTAAATGTACTTATATGGTCAGAACTGTGGTTGGAAACAAACTTACGTTCATTAAGAAAAGAAAGCTAACTAGGTTAGCAGACTTATAAGAAGGCATAACAGTAATGAAGAAGCTGGCTGAAACTATCACTAGCAAAAGCTAGTGGCATTGAGACATGTCAGCCACCTGGAAAATACCATTTATATGGTTCTCTTACCTAATTCATGAGGCAACTCGTGACAGAACACAGCCACAGAAGTACTTAAACCACTTGATAAACCCTCAGTGAAAGCAGCACCTGAGTAAAAATCAATCAGAAAAAGAGTGACATTATTTTGTGGGTGTGTTTTCAAAAAATCTTACCAATATACAAAGTGAGGAAAAAGGAGTAAACTATATTCTGGTTGTGAATAAAAAGAACTTTCCCAAGTGCATTCTGTATCTTCTTTGTAAGTAATCTCAGATTACATTCAATTAGGTTTAAATTTCCCAATGGAACACAAGCTGGTATTAAGAAGGGAAGGTTCTACTGTGCCCTAACAGTGATTAGATGATCTTATACAAATCTGAGAAGTAACTGCTCCCCCATAAAACACACTTAAAAATATAAAATAAAATGACTTAAAAGGTTTAGGAAAAAAATAACGACTCAGCAGCCAAGAGTACAAATTGTTTCACTGGCTTCAGAGGAGTTCACTATGATATCAGACTTGTTACATTCATTCTTTCACTGTCTCATAAAAAGAGTCTAAGACAAATAGATCCTTTCCTCTTAAAAGCTAACATACTACACAACTGATCATTTATATATCATGACTTAGCATTTGAATATTCTCCTTCGTTGCTGCTGCTGTGCACAGTACAGAGAGGAGGAAAAGCACCAGGCTCTCAGTGGGGAGCCAAGGCCTGGACTCAGCTGGGCTACAAAACAGCATTGTCTCCTTGGGCAACTGTTTACCCTGCCAGGCCTCAGCTGCCTAATCTATAATTATTTCTGAGGTCCGTTTCAGCACTAAGTTACTAAAATTCATAAGTATCCTATTATCTCCTAATTGTGGTATAACAATTTAATAGCAAAAACTCTTGTTCTTCTTTGGATAGGGATTGGCAACTGAACTTATCATATATGCAAAGATTTCCTTTATAAAATGAAAGAAAAATATGATTGAAGAGACTCTTTTACCTTAATTAATACTGTTTATATTGCAGATAAGAGAACTAAAATGTCTAGGGGGGAAAAAACTCATACATGCTCCAAACACAATGGAGCCTGATCTTAAGACCTTGCAAATTAAAACGACTTGTGGTAGTTAACACTTTAGGTAATGGGCTAGGCATAGTTCCTTTCACTTTACTGAGCATTTCATTGTCAAAGTAGCCAAAGAAGAAACAACATTTTGATAATCAATCAATAAAGGGCAAATATGTAGATGTATACCAATCGCTAGGCCATCACTGAAATTGTGCAGGCCATCGCCCATTATCACCATCCATGCCAACGTGGCGATGCCGGCATCTTTCAGCTCCTCCCGGGAGTAGCGCTGACTGTGACTGTGAGGGTGGTGGTTTTGGTGGTGGTGGTGATGCAGAATATGATGGTAGTCATGATGGTGATGAATGAGATCATCTGACTGGCCCAGCGTATCATGGAAGTGTGAATGGCATTTATTCTTGCAACCTCTGGGTACATATTCATTATAGACTTCTTGTGGATGAGCATGAGCTATCATGACCTCTTCTTCTTCCAAGATTGCTGGCTGCTGAGAATCGAAGTGGGAGGGCTCTTGTGAGTCTGCTCGTAAATAGCTTTCAGGTCCTGAGTACAAACAAAAAGGATATTGGGACAGTCAGAAGGCTTTGTTAATAAGCTTAGACACATTCAAACATTCCTACAGACAATTAAGGTCAATAAAGATCTTAAAGTGGAGCAACTCTCTCACATATGCCTGAAGAAATACACATTGGAGTATTATTGATGAAAAATATTAGGTTTTAACGAATTTTAGCAATTAAATGGTCTCACATATTAAGAATGGATTTTAATCATTAACCTTCAATAATTACCCCCTAGACTCTCCCTTAATTTCTTCTACCTCCTTACATTTTTAAAGATTACTTTTTTCTGATTATAAAAGAAGCAGATAGTTATTTTAAACTGATAAGAACAGATACTACACTTGATCTTAGCCAAAAAGCTGAGAAGCAATATTTCAGAAAAATATTTCAGAAAAATAATTAAATTGGAAATAAAAAAACACACAAAATTCTGTTGTCTGACTTCCTCTTTTTTGATGGAAAAATTCAAGGAAAAAATAGAAGAATCAGAAATACCATCATCACCAAGAACTGTTTACTATCTATTTATACAAAGAGAAGTAAATGCAACAATAAGGTTGTTTTACTTTGTCCTCTTCACTAGTATCACTTTTCCCGGAAGCATTCCTGACACTGTGGTCCAACTGTAAAGCAGCTATTTCTTCTCATTGTTATATAATTCACTAGAGCCCACTAAAAAGGAGAGAATAGGTACAGGAAGAAGAACAAGAGCATCTATTTGCTCTTTAGAGAAAAACAGCATGTTGGAAAACAAAGGATGGACACATACAAAAAGGCAGTAGCAACAATAAAGTTTTTCTCTCTCCTCAGTCAGCAACTACCTCTTGAGCACCTACTCTGGGTCAGGCAGTGGTGATAGAATGGAGCATGACAATCCCTCTGTCTTTAAGAAATTTATGCTGTTGTGGCAAGAAAGGCAAAGAGCAAGGAGCTCCAGATATGTAAGGTAATTCAAGGCACTGGAAAGCACGGGGAGAAAACTGAAAAGGGGAATATGATAGAGAGTGATTGGAAAACCTCAGTATTTGGGTGATCCAGGGAAGGCCTCTGAGAAGATATCTGAGTGGAGACTGAAACAATAGGGGAAGGAATTTACATGAAGATCTGTGAGAAGAGGCTTCCAAGAAGGTACAGTAAATGCAAGGCTCTGAGACAAACCTGGTATGTTCACAGGTTAAGAAGGCCAGCAGGCTGGACACAGAAGAATGGGGGAGGGTGGAGGGCAGGTTAGAACCTTGAAAGTCACAATGAAGAGTTTGGTTTAAATTTTTAATCTTAAAAATTTTAATCTTAATTCAATAAAGAATGCCAAGCTAACACTCAAGTAACAGGAGAAAATATCACTTTACAGTGAAAAAACATGGTAAATATAACCTTAGCCAAGTGCTCAAAATTCATACTGCCCATGTGTGACAAAGAGCATTGGGCCAGGTGGCACATTATGTGGCTAAAAAAATGATACCATTTTGTGGTACTGCTGCTAACACTGATCAATCTTTACAAAAAAACATTAGACTCAACATCTGACCAAACTGTACTCTAGATCTTTTTCTTCTTTTGGGGAAGAAGGGAGTATAAAAGAATTAAGAAACTTAGAAAAACACAAGTAAGGTCTATGGACTAGATAATTGCATGGTATCAATATTCATTTCCTGATTAAAATATCCAAAGTATGTTACACAAGAGAATGTTCCCTTCCTTAGGAATTATATGGTAAAGTATTTAGAAGTAAAGAGACATCCTGTCTGTCCTGGCCAGTGTGGCTCCGTTGGTTGGGCACTGTCCTGCAAACTGAGGTAGCCAGTTCGATTACCGGTCAGGGCACATGCCTGGGTTGTGGGTTCGGTCCCCGGTTGGGGTGTGTGCAAGAGGCAACCAATCGATGTTTCTCTCCTCCTTCTTACTCCCATCCCCTCTCTCTAGAACCAATACAAGAAAATAAAAAAACCACCATGTCTGTAACTTACTCTCAAATGGTTTAAAGAAAAATGTATACATGTGTACACAGAGAAAGAGAGAGAGAGAGAATGATAAATGTAGGTAAAATAACTGGGGATACAGGAAGGGGATAGAGGAATTATTTATATCATTCTTGAAATTTTTCTGTAAGTCTGAAATTACCTCAAAATAAAAAAATTAAAGAAATGTAAATATACATAAAAATAACCTCTGACTGGTAATTAAAAAGTATGAGTTTAAAAAAAGGGACATAGCCTCATCATTTCCATATAGTCCAAGCAGAGCAATGAACTCCTTTCAGCCCTCAGATTCATAAGGACTTACGATCATCTGCATCTACTTTCTCCTCATGTGGTGAAAGCTGAGAGTCGTACTTGGACAGCTGCTTCTTAATCTCCACGTCATCATCATTTTCAGGTTTTTTCTGATTCTAACATAGCAAGGGAAAACAATACTTTAAAACAGTTGATCTGTTTATGTGTGCAGCTTTAAATAAACACTTAAGCAAAAAACACAGGAAAAGATTGCAGAGTAACAGACCTCCAATGGAATAAAGCCACCGAAGGGCAGGGCCTATACTTAGCTTGCACAGCACCTAGCAGAATGTCCTAGGCATGGTAACTGTTCAGAATGTGAAGAATCAATGCCTCAGTAACATAAGATGCAGAAAAATGACGTTCACCTTTCTGAATGTCCCCTAGGTCATCTACTCTAAGTGTGGTCTTACCTAAGCAGCACAGCATCGCCAGGGAGCTGGTCAGAAATGGACAATCTCAGGCCACACCCAGACCTACTGAATCAGATGGGGATTTTAACTATATCCCCAGGTGATTCACATAAACATTAAAATTTAGCTCGGCCTCAGGTCATCCATTTAAAACCAACTAGAAGCATTTTCTTCAGATACCTAGGGATCTGCTAACCAATCGCTTGGTTTTTTTCTATCTGTCCTTTGTATGCTGAAAACCCATGCTTTCTATACTTTACACATCCTAACACTGAAACCAGAAAAGTCAGCGTTTGTGCTGTCTGTCATTAACAGAACTAGTAAGTAGAGACAAGGACTGAATCCTTATGGGTGCTTCATTCAGATGGAGGGTTACATACCCTTAGAAAACATTTTAACATCTCATCTCAAGCTGACCTTTTTATAGAGAGAAAAAAGGGTAGGTAAGGGGTTTGGGAAAAAGGTTAATCAGATAACAAGTTCCCAGTGCTCCTTTATCTGTTGATCAACAACTCAGACCATCTCTACTGCACAAAAGTTGAATTGCTTGTCCATTTCCTGGAGCCAAGTGGTCATGCATTCCAGTACTTGGAATAATAGCTTTCCTCTTGCATTTAATTAGTTAAGCCTATTAACTATGACTGAAACCTTTATCTCTTGAATTCCCTTATCAAAACTACACTGTGACACTAATATATTTGTTACTACAACTTAAATGTTTTTCCTATAGTAAAACATCATTAACAAACTTTCTCTTTTTAAACTATTAGTTAGCCTTGGATTTATAATTGGGGTTTCTAAGCAACATACCTGAGATATTGTTCCCATCTCTGAACCCAAGCGTAAAGGTCACTGTTTGAAAATGGTGCCTGTGTATTATCTACTTATATAGAAGAGAACATTAAAAATATTTTAAAATGTCACACAAAAATTATACTTATTTGTAGTACCTTTGAATATGACTTAAGAGTTCTTCTAGTTCTAACAGTGTATATAATATCAGTACATTCTTAGGTTTGTGGACAAAAAAGGGTCTCTATAATAAATCTGACAAGTGCAGTGACTGAACATAACCTCACAGGGTCACCTGACTATAATTTCTAACTGGGCAGTGTGTGGTGGGTAGTCACACCTCAGGCCTGTAACTTCCCTAGTAAAAGGTTATTACTGCCCTAAGCAAGCCCTGTCCATTGTTTCTGTGCATCTATGATAGCACACCTTTGAAATGCCTCTTTTTCAGACCCCTTGGAATGGAATTATAACCACCCCCAGGAGAGCACAGAATTGGCCTTGGCCAGGTAGCGTGGCTGGTTAGAGCATTGTCTAGATTTGCCAAGGTTGGGGGTTTAGTGTCTGGCTAGGGCATATACAGGAAGAAACCAATGAATGCATAAATAAGTGGAACAAATCAGCATTTCTCTAAAAACCAATAAAATTTTTTTTAAAAAGAACACATAATCTTAGTAACTATTTTGTAATCCAAACACAGAGATTTCCCTGCCTTGCTTTCTCTCACTTTATGCAATCTTACATTCCCTTCTTAATTCCAAATGCATAAAAGAAATGGCAAACTGCCATACTGGGGAGCATTGTTCTCAGTCTGTTGAGATCTTGCTTCTAGGCATGTCCTGTGTGGCTCAGATAAATTCTAATAAACTCATAAAAATTTTCTACAGCTTCAGATGTTCTTACATCAACAGGTTCCAAGAATTTTCTAAGAGAAAGTATTTAAATATTTGTGAATATAAATAAATTCAGGGTATTTTAAATCACTTAATGCTTTACTTCTTGTTGGGCAATGACTCTCTTGAACTTACAGATTTTAATGAAGTCTTTTGTTCCTTAAGTATTAGGTACTGATAATGTTCCTTAGGCTATGTGCTGGCAATACATGTAAAACAAGATACAAAGGGTCTATGTTCTCACGGAGCTTATCATCAACAGGGAGGGAGTCTTCACACAGATAATAATTATATACAATTCTTTGACTGAAATTTTTGATACATTTACTAAGAAAAATCTGAGTGCTATGAGAGTGTGTAACAACAAAACAAAAAAGTAAGTACCAGGACAGGCTTCCTTGAGAAAGTGATATTTATACCAAGACCTAAAGATGAGCAGGAGTTTGCCAGGGAAAGGAAAGAGAGGCAGTGTTCCAGTCAGGAAGAATTGCATGTAGGAGGCCCACAAAGGAGCCAATCCCATCTGGAATAGAAAGAAGGACAGTGTGGTTGGGGCCTAGTACATCAGAGACAGGGTGGCTAGAGATAAGGCTGGACTACAGGAGGAGACCAGACAATGCAGGCCTGTTAAGAGCTGTGGCTTTGTCCTAAAAGCCATGAGAAATCACTAAAGGAAGGATTTTAAGTAGCGGAATCTAACCTCATTAGATTTCATTTAAACAAATCACTCTGCCTGCATTAGTAGACAAAATAATGTAGATGGGAAAGTTAGGAGGCAACTACTATCACCCAGGTGGGAGATAAGGCTGGTATGGGCTAGAATAGCAAGGAAGATGGAGAGAAATGGAAAAACTAGGTTAAATATGAGGATGGAGATGTCACAGGTGGTTCTCAGGTTTCTAGCATGATCAATAACCTTTACTGGTGCAAAGTTTGACACTTAACTAATGTAAGGGTCTAACCATGTCAAGTATGAGATATAACCCTTATTCGAACACAGAGATTTCAGATTTACAAAGATGGCAAGTAATCTAAAACTATGGTATACACAGGTGCAGGATAGATATCGCAAGGAAAAATCCTAGGTAAAATGTCCTGTTGTGGGTGAAAAGAGCTCTCAACACTTACCATGTAATAAATTATTATACTTTTTGAGGAACCAAATGAGATTAAAAACTGTTAAGTAAAACTAAGATATGGATGCCCTTGAAAAAAGACCCTCAACGTATTCCAAAAAGAAAGAGGATAAAGTCTGCAAAACTCCTGTGGAATGTCTTTATCTAGAAATTAAAAGTCCCCACTAGGACAGTCTTTTTGACAGGGGAATTTATGAGTTAAGGGCTTTAGCCCTGGCTGGTGTGGCTCAGTGGACTGAACACTGGCCTGCAAACCGAAGGCTCGCTGGTGGATTCCTGGGCAGAGCACATGCCTGGATTGTGGTCCAGGGCCCCAGCTGGGGGAGTTTGAGAGGCAACCACACATTGATGTTTTTCTATCTCTCCCACTCCTTCTCCCTCCCTTCCTCTCTCTCTAAAAGTAAATAAATAAAATCTTAAAACAAAAAAGTTAAAGGTTTTAGCCTCAGTTGATAGGTTTAAGTGATTAATGCATGTGGAAAGCTGTTATTCCAGGAACTGGAATGCATGACTAGGTACCAAGTGACTCTAGGAGGTCATAAGCAATTCAACCTTTATGCCCCAGGGGCTCTGCATGAAAGGCAGACGGTATTTGAGCCACTGTGTTCTAAGAAGAGAATACTAATGATGCAGATAAAGAATTGCTGATAACAGATAAAGAAGTACTAGGAAAATCACTGCAACTCTTAATCCAATTAACCTCCCTCCCCCACCCCCTTACCTACCCTTTTTTGTTAAAAAAAAAAATAAATAAATAAATAAAATAAAAAATAAATAAAAATAAAAAATAACTAAACAACAAAAAAACTGGTCAGTTTGAAATGAGATGTTAAAATGGTTTCTGAGGGTACATAACCTACCATCTTATCTTCTCAGATTGCTGGCCATCTGAATAAAGCAGCCATAGAGATTCAATCCTTTGCTCTACTTATTGGTTCTGGTGTGACAGGCAGCACGAACACTTACTTTTGCAGGTTCATTTTGACTGACTTGTCTGATTACATCATATAAGATGAGACAGATAACCACAGGCAACTCAAAATTACTTTTACCAAAAATAAAGAGCCTACTATTTGGCTTCATACTATTTTCTACATGCAATTTGCAAAGGTCACATATCCTTTCAAATAAAACAGGATATCCAGCTACTGGGGTAAATAATTAATTTGAAGTTCATCACATAATCATAACTACTAATGAATATTGATTGCATATCCATGGTAAGTTTTTCTTAAACCGCTTTACTGAGGTATGATTAACATTTAAAAAGCTTTACATATTTAATGTATCCAACTCAGTGAGTTTGCAGATATGTATATACCCATGAAACCATCGCCACCATCAAGGCCATAATCTCGATGATTCTGATCGTCAAGGACCCACTTGTGCCTTGTTTGGTCATTCATGTGTTTTTCCTTGCCTTTCTCACTCTCTCTTGAGTTTGAAGGGAATCTGAAGATAGAGAACTACAGGAATATAAAGATACAGAATTGCTCTCCATTAATGCCTCTGAGAGCAAAAAGTATCTCAAGAATAATCAATCTCCTCTCAAAGATCATATACCCTGGACAAGCTCTGCTAACAGTCTAGTTAGAATACTAAGCTAAATAAACGACTGATGCATAATAAGTCCTCAGTATACTTTTTCTTACCTTTTTCTTTTTATCTTTAAATTGTTTGATCAAAGTGAGCACATGTTCAACAAGAAACATGAAATACAAGCCTCCCAGGGCTGTTAGACCCTTCCATGTGGAATCAAAATAGGTGCTTTCTTCTATGTTTTGAGAAGATAGATGACTGAACAGTGGTCCTCTCTTCATTCCCATTGCTGTTTCTTCATGGCTGTGACTATGGTGGTGGCTTGCATGAGACTAAAGTCAAAACAACATGTATTTTATAAATTCATCAGTTTCACACATCTGAAAAATTGGCTAAGGTCAAATTTGAAATCATTCGGAATTAGGCAATTAAAGGGATACTGTAGAATGAGGGGAAGTTTAGGATATTAAAAATAAAATGACCAATAAGCAGACAACTGTCTAGAGCTTAATGCATATTAGGTACTATGACAGTTAACAGATTGGATCTGTTCAGTGTAAGGACACATTCCCCAATGATCCTCATAATATATCGGTAGTGGGTATTTTCAATGTTTGACAAGTTATCATGGACACAAGTAATAGGAAATAGCTAGATTTAATACGCCTATAGTGTTTACTGCTTATACTCCTAGCTGGAAAGCTCACAGCACTATCATCGGTATGCTTACAAGAAGCCCAGTCTGTGCAATGAGCCCTGGCAGGCACCTCCAGAGGCACTGTCTCAGTGGTCTACAGCTGAGTGCAGCAGGAACTACTGCTCCTGCTTGTTAGGAACATCGTGTGGTACACACAGAGCTGAGGCTAGGGGTGGTGGTGCCAGAGAGTATATACCCCGTGCACATGTCACTTTATGTAGCAGGTATTTCTGAACATCTGCCATCTAATGGTTAGGGAGTCTGTCACAGCAAAACAGTTGTCTCTCACTGCTGGGTAAAGCATGATGAGATATGTATTACTTCAGGAACAATTCCTTCCCCCCACTCCCCCACACTTACCTGCAAACCTCTAAGGGAAATTTAGAAAATGAGATCCAAATTATTTTCTGCCTGTGTGCCTATCCCAAATATTTAATGGAAAAGTAAACTCACTTTACCAAACTTGCTTTAGTTTAAGAATTCACTTGTGTCACAAAGTGTAAACCTCTAAATACACACATAAATTCAACTACGAAGAAAACCTTTAAGTTTTTTGGGTACGAGGAGTCACATTTTTTATTTCTGTAACAATTACATTAACATGTAAGCATATAATTCACACTATTGCAGTCTGTCACAGTACTAATATATGAGTAGAATCTGCCTCCTTTTATTAACTGGGTTCCAAAAAGTTAAATTAGTTTGTAGTTAATTATCTTTAAAAAGAAAAACAAAATAATGTATTAAGGTCAAGCATGAAAATGCAGCTTTTGTTACCAAATATATTTTAAAGTCAACTCCTCTAAACCAAATTTCCAACCTTTATACATAACAATACAAATAATTCTGGTATAAACTATATATATATATTTTTTTTCAATGCTGAATAATATGCTATACTAATAGGACAAATTACCATACTTACATGTGGAAGGAGGTGTAAAAAAGCATCACCACTCAATGTCCCAACAGCCAATGCCACAAGAAAACTCAGGAGAAACTTGAAAAACACCCGATTCATGAGAGGCACTAAGATAACGCCCAGCAAAGACAGGAAACTGATGATGGAAATGGCTATAAAGCCACCAAGCCAGGCTGTCAAACAAAAGGGAACAAAGGAAAAACATGCAAATGATATAAAAGAGGGACTCTGTAGTAGCATAAAATAACTTGTAACAGTAGGGAAATCTTAAAGAAATGTAAACTCAGTGGAATAAGACTGTGATAACAGAGCAATAACCAACAAATGATCTCAAATGAATAATTTGCCTGAACTCTCCAGGTAAAGAGCATAAACCTGGTGGAAAATTCTTCAGCTGGTAGTGAAAGAAGGGGGGGAAATGATAAACAAGAATTAACTCTAGCTCATTTGGGAGCTGAACTTTCAGATTCCCATAACACATAAACCATGAAAGAGAAGAGGAAAAAGTTTTGTAAAAAAGAGAGAAGAAAACCAGGAATTAAATAGTTCCTCTGTAAACAAAACAATTGTGTCTTGTCTATTTTTTTGAACTGATTATTTATTTTAAAAGATTTTATTTATTTAAAGAGAGGGGAAGGAGAAGAGAAAGGGAGAGAAACACCTTGATCAGTAGCCTCCCACAAGCCTCCAACTGGGGACCTGGCCTGCAACCCAGGCATGTGCCTGATCAGGAATCAAACTGTTGACATTTTGGTTTGTAGGACCTTTCTGTTTACAGGCAGGCACTTAATCCACTGGGCCACACCAGCCAGGGCAGCAATTATTTCTTCACCATAGTTTTTTTTTTAATCCTCACCCAAGGACATTTTTTTCATGGCTCTTTTTTAGAAAGACAGGAAGGAGAAAGGAAGGGACAGAGGGAGAAACATTGATGAGTGAGGCATGTGTCTTATATGCATCTAAACTGGGGACTGAACCTGCAAACTTTTGGTTACACCACAACGTTCCAACCAACGTAGCCATACCTGCCAGGGAGATTTCTTCATTGTAGTTTGTGAGCACTGAAACTCTACACTATAGCAGAGCTTATCCATTTTCATTTACTAGTAATAACAGACCAGAATTAGGTTCCTCAACAAGAGATTAACTCTGCCCCTTCTTCCCAAACAGTGTGACTACAAAGATTGGATAACCCTGACACTTCCTGTGGAATGACCTCAGGCAAGTTACAAGTTACGTTTTATTTTATTTTATTTTTAAAGATAAGGCTAACACAGACAAGTTACATTCTAAGTTTTCTTTTTAAGGGTAAGGCTAACACACCTGCTTTCTTCACATTCAAGGCAGAGGAAATTAAGATGGTATATTTGAAATTATGCTGAAAAATGAATAGGTTTTTGTAAATATAAAGAAAATTACAACATAAATGCATCTATTGGAGATTATTTTTGCAAAGAAAACCACAATTGTACCTATTTGTAAAGAATAGGTCTTTGGAGGGATTTCAGCTTTCTTTTCACTCATGGTATGATTCAAACACGATCTGGCATCAATTTGATTGATGATGGCTGGGCAGAGATAGTTGAACTCTGATGCGTTCAGTGGCACCTGGAGGCCCATGCCATGAGATGTAAGCAGCTTGGATGCATTGAAACACTAAAGAAAACAAAGCAGGGAAAATCACCAAAAGGCATTCCCATTAGATACTCCAAAAACACTGTTTGATGACATAATACCCTTCCCTTACTGAAGTAATTTCTTGAATTTTTTTTTAACTTAACACTAATTTATACCAACTTTGTTCTAAGTACTTTGGAATTTGCCTCAAACTGCCTGGAGATACTATGTCACAATAGTGTTATCCCACTTGTCTGCCTACTTCTTAGTAGAAAGTCACATCACTAGAGAGAAAGTCTCAAGTGCACTAAGCCTGAGGATAAATGCACATTCACAAGCCTGTTAACTCATTGTATAAACCTATTAAGGAAATGAGCTTTAATTTCTAGAAGGGACTCATTAGGGGTTGGGACATATGTTGTTTTAGCACCAACACTACCCTACTGGGCCTAAACAGGTCCCAAACACATCGCTCTTTCAGCAATGACCATACTTGGAAAACTGAGCTCTGCTCTGACTACATACCTGGCAAATAGTGCTCTACAACAGAATATTAAAGGATGCACATCACCCTCGAGCAGGGCAAAGTTGGTAATAAAACAAACCTGTACTGGCAGGCAGCTGTTTCAACAATTTAATTAGATGACTAGTTTGAAGAGAATCTTCTGAGTAATCTAAGCCCCTCTATGCCCCTAGAATTGGTGGTAGCACCTATTTCTCATCTTCTATAAAGTTATTTTAAACTCCACCAATTTTTGGTTAGTACTACTCAGAACAAACTTTATTACCAGTGTCGCTATGGGAACAACCACTAGTAGGATTATCCCAAAATTAGTATAGTCATATGATGGTTTGAATGAATGAAATACTTAAGTTTTACTTATTAACATATATCAACTAATTCCTTGTCCTTGACATCTTTCAGGAAAGGCAAACTGAGTACGGTCTGGAAGACTAGTCTAGAAAAAGCACATGAACTCAGAACTTTACTGCCCAGACACTGTCCAATATGTTGCTCTTGGTAGCAGTTCCAATTTCAATCACTCTACAAATCATTACAATCCCTCTGCCAAGGAAGTAATACTGTCCTTGAATTCTTCAGCCCCTTCAAGCACACCTTTCCCTAAAACATGGAATCTAACTCCTGCATTTTCAACCTCCTGTTTTCTATTTTTAATAATAATATTCACCTTTAAAGACTTTCTCCAAAAATAACTGTGATATCTGCTTTCTATACTTATTTTAAATTCTATATTATAAAATGTTTTTGGCAGGCAGTACTATTCTTATCTTCCAAGTTTATCAGAAATGATTACAACATGGTAGAGACACTTTGGGTCAAGTGGCTTGCTGAGAAAGTAGAAATTCCCTTTTCTTCTTCTTCTTTTTTTTTAAAGATTTTATTTTTAGAGAAAGGGAGAAACATCATTGTGTGGTTGCCTCTCCATGCACCCCCAACTGGGGACCTGGCCCACAACCCAGGCATGTGCCCTGACTGGGAATCGAACCAGCAACCCTTTGGTTCACAGGCCAGTGCTCAATCCACTGAGCCACACCAGCCAGGTCAGAAATTCCCTTTTCAATAACTTCACCATTTTATTTGTACCTCAAACTCCTAATAACTAGAGATGGAATAGCAATAACAGAATAGACAAGTAAGCATATTGATTATAATAAGAATAGCCTTTATCTTACCTCCTGAGTATTTCCATTTGCGTTTATGGAATACATAAAGTCTTTTCTGGGCTCACTCACAGATTCATTTGTTTTCCTCCTAGCCGGCCTGCTTGCCTGGCTCTTTTCCATGATACTGGGGGGAGTAGAACTGCTCACATCTTTGGGGAGAAGTTTTCCAGGTTTTGGAGTTTCTATTGTCTCTAGAAAGTGAGTTCCTTCAGAGATAGCATCATACACAGTTGAGGTCACTTCACTAGCACCAACACCATCCTTGATTAAAACATTCCTTCTACTATTGGCATGTTCTGATCGGTGAGATCCTTTCCCCTGGTTGTTTCTAGCATCTTTTCCAGAGCTATCAGAGTCATGGTCTGGGCAAAGAGCCTTCCGATTATTTTTACCAGAAGCAGCATGATTATGGTGAGAGTGATGATCATGGTCAGAATGATGCTCGTGCTCAGAATGATGCTCGTGGTCATGGTGTATATGAACTCTTTTAATCTTATCTATGCCTATATTTTGCAGCAACTTTCTGAACCCTTCAACTGACAAGGAATTATTTTCTCCATAGCGATGGAAAAGCTGCTGTAGGTGATGTCGCTGTGTGGTAACTGCCAAATCAACATTAATGCCAGACTCCCAGTTTGGAATAATTTTCTCAGTGGTGTGAGGGAAAGCGGTTGCTGGTTGTACTTCATGAAGGGAATTTGTGACTGACAGAGTGAAGGTCAGGATGAAGATTACAGTTAAAGTCCTCGCCATAGCACCTTCCTAGAGAAGACAGAAAAAGAAATGTCGCCTTCACTTTTAAAATAATTTGAATTAAGAAATCTCATGCTGCACACTGATGTCTAATCAAATAATCAAGGTTTACAGTGCATCATCTAGTGTGACCAATGCAGTGTAAGGTACTGTGAAAATACAGAAACTAGACTCCTAGGCTCTACCCTTGCATTGCTAAAACAGGTGAAACAAATGAAGAACTGTTGTGTGTTAAGAGAGTATGGAGTTAGCACTATAAAAGCAATAATTCAGACACTGGAGAGATCCATGTGGTCACAGCCATATTGACAACTTCATATTGTGTTGAGAACAATGATTTAAAACAAAACTTACCTCTCTACCACCATCGTCATTTCATAAAAAGTATTTTAACATCAAAAGGAGTAAATATGGCAATCTCAGATAATTCACATTTAAATTTTTTCTTAAACTACGCACAAATCAATTTAAGGCTTCTTTTCTCCTATACCACTCTTCAAAGTCACCCAATTCTGCCAGTTTGTGTATGCCTCAGGATATTTGTCTATGCATACTCAAGTAGATGTGTACGTAAACCACGCAAATGGGATCTTTTTCCCTACTCAAAAACGACATCTTTCCAGTCAGTACATATAAGCTGATTTCATGTTTTTAAATGACTGCATGATAATCGTTCCTTAAATAAATTATATTTCATAAAAAACCTGTATCATTCTTATGTCGCTACAAATCAGTGAAGACTTTATCACTGACCATCACTTACCCAGACAATGGTGTTTGGAGTTAGGAAAAGCAGAATTCAGTTAAACCGAGGAAGGTATAGTCCAGATACGTGGATAGACTGATATCTCAGGACCCACATGTCCAGTCGTCACCAAACTCACCTGCCTCCGGAGAAAGAAACAGAGGTTGTGTTTCTGGAGCGAGAGAGCGAGGGCATGAGGCAACCTAGCTCTACCACTTTCGGCTTTTGTTCCTTGCACCAAGAAAAGCTGGCAATACCTATTTACAGGGTGACTGAAGACGCCACAGGACCGGCGTAGATGGGAGTGCTCCAAACAGTGTCAGCAGTGTTGCACAGCTGCTGCACATCATACCCGGAGAAGTGAAAATGGAAGTACGTTAAGTACCACAGGGCTAGATTCCTGAAAGAACAATCCCTGGCCCCTGAAATTTTAATAGGCAAACGAGAACCATGAAGAAATCATTCGCAGGAGAGAGAGGCAAAAAGCTGGAAGGGTTGGGACAAGCACAGACGCAATGCTCCGTGCCTTCCTCCAGGAAGGATGCTTAACGCAGTCGCGGACCCGCGGGCGGACCTCCTTCCCTGTAAGTCTTCCGTGGTGTTGGGAAACAAAGCCTAAAGAGCGAGCCTGGAGAAAACGGCGTGTGAAGAAACAGGGAAAGAGGGCACACCGCTGTTTATTGTTGAACACGACTCTACCTTCACACAGATGAATAACGCCGTTTCCTCACAAAGTCCTCCTTTGAAGTCTGAAGCCCATGTGCGCACCCCGAACTGGGAAGTCCAGCCTCCACGGCCGCGGGGTTCCCCCCTCTGCAGCCCCAGCCCGGCCCCGCGGGACTCACCTCTACGCGGCCTCGCAGTCCCACGGCCCGGCCTCCGACTCCCACCGCCCGGCCCCGCGCACAGGTTCAGTTCCCGCAGGCGGTCGGGAGGGCTCGGAACTGGCCCGTGCTTTTCTCTCTCGAAGCTCTACAGGGCACAATGAAGCGGCGATCTCAGCGGCCCGGACGCCCCTCGGTCCGGTTATCGCAGCACAGCCACCGAGAATCCGCGCCTCACGCGCCCTCGCCTCGCCAGAGCAGGACAATTACTAACTACCGCCGCGCGCAGCGCGCGGCCGGGAATCACCGCCTCCGCCGCCCCGGACTGCAGGACATGCGCAGTGCGGCTCAGAACCCCGTCCGCCGCCAGGGGATCCGTGCGGATACCGGATCGCCGGCGCCGCGGGTCTCGAAGGGGCGGGAGGGGGCGAAGGCGGGTCGGGCGTAGACTAAGAGCTTGGAGACTAGTTGGATACCCTTTCTGCGAGCCCTTTGCGCCCTTGCGCCAAGGAGACCCGAGACTTTCTTGCCGAGGCTCTAGCCTGCTTGCCCCGTCCGCTGCTGGGAGCCCGGGCGTGAGGGGCAATGGGACCTTGCTGACGGTGCCCCGCACTTTAGCCGCGGGTTTTTCGAGAACGTCCGGAACTACTCCTGCCGGTCTTGGTCCTTGGGACGGTGGCCGCGTGCGTTCGCTGGGCCACGGTCCAGGACGCGAGAGCTGGCAGTGGCGGCCGAGAACTGAGGCTCCCAAGACCCAGGGCCGGGGGGCGTGGCAGTTGCCGCCCCGCGACTCCGGCAGCCTCTGAAACGCGGCGAGGAATCAGCCAGCCCGGGAGGCGGCCTCGCGAGCAGTTCCGCTCAGAGGGCGGAAGTGCGCGCCCAAGTTTCGGCCGCTGACTAGCCAGCAACATGGTGGCATCCGTGCTGGAGACGTCTCATGTATTTTGCTGCCCAAACCGGGTGCGGGGAGCCCTGAGCTGGAGCTCCGGGCGGGGAGGACTTCTGGCCTTCGGCACGTCCTGTTCCGTGGTGCTCTATGACCCTTGGGTAAGAGATGGCCCGACGTCTGACCCCGTGGGGCTGAATGTGCTCTGTGCTGTCTGGACAGATTGTGGACGCTGCGCCAGAGCGAAGACGCTCGGTGTGCGGGCTGGTCCGCGTGGGGGAGGGTGTCTAGGCGGGGACTCCTGTTTGCACGCCTGACTCGCTCCTCGAAATCTTGCGCGCTTCTTCAGCATGGGGTCCCCAAGTCCCACCGGTGACCTGTTCACCTCTCATAGGTACCTGAATGATGATAACCTTTTCTGAAGCCTTCTGTGGCAACTAACTGTATGTAGTACTGTTAGTTAAAGATTTAGTTTGGGTTTTGAAAGATTTGCGATTTAGGTTTGGATCAAATCCATTATCACAGTTGCGATCCCATTTCCATATTTTCTGCGGTATTTTATAAACTTGTATTGCTTTAAAAAATACATCACTTGTATTTTATATTTTAGTTTGGAATTGGACATATTAAAGAAAGTTTCATTGGGGTAAAGGTCATAGGGGTTGGGAATCTTGAGCACTACTTATGAGGTAGGACTTAACCCATTCTCTGAACTTCACCCAGTCAGTTAATTTTATTTTTTGGCTCTTTCCCTACCAAATTTTTCAAATGGCTAGTTTTTGTGTGCTTCCCAGAGTTCGTTTTGCCCCCATTCCCACTGGTTAATTTTGGACAATATAGTTAATGTTGTTTCTGAAAAAGAGCCTCAGTATAAAAAGTAAAGTGCTGGAAATTAAAGTGTAGTGCAGGAGCTAGGTTTCTATATTTCTTGTACTGCTTTATTAATTTGATTAGAAATACCATTATCCTCACACCCTTTGCAGATTCCAATTTATATAGGAAATAGTTGTATTAGCTTACTTTTGTTTCTTATAGCTCTGCTCTCTTAACTGGCAAGAGAAAGCACATAAAACCACGGGTAAACTTTACAGTGGCCATTGAATAGGGGGGACTGACTCAGTTGTGGAAACCTCTCTTTTTGCAGCTATTTAATGGATTTGTACCATGCCTTACATCACATTTTTATTTTTAGTGATAATCTGGTGGCCATGTTAGATTTTAACCTATCAAAAATATATATTGACCCTAAAAAGTATTTTGTTTTGTTACGTTTTTGCTTGTTGGACATTTAATTAAATGTGGGAATAAGAGCATGGAGGTACTAAAACAAAGTTTGGGGGATGATGTTCATTCAGCAGATTTTTGAGGACCCTCCATGGGCTACCTCTGGACTGGGTGGTAGGGACACAAAGATAATGGGTAAAAAATAACTTCTGCCCATTAAGGAATTCTCAATCTAGTGAGAGAGAAAATGAGCTATTATAATTGTTTCCCAGCCTCAAATAACTCATGTGTGAAATATGTTAATTATATACTTACCTCTGTAACCCTTTTTCTTAGCCATGAGAATTCTAGTTGGCATATAAGCCTGTGCAGTTGGCAATAAATAGAGAAAGGGTCTGTGAAGAGAAAGGCACTGCAATCACAGAGTTAGTGTTTTCAGCAGTGGGTGAAGTAAAGAGAGCCCAAGTGTGGAGTGATGTTGGTGAAAGCAACAGTCTGAAGAAATCTGATGTCTGAGGACCTTCATAGTTGTGACCTGGTGGTGACCTTGTTTGTGTCATGATTCAAGAACCCTAATTAGCCATGATGGGCATCACCTGATTAGCCATGATGGGCAAAGTGAGCCATGAATTGGTATCCATTAAATATGAATTCCTCTATTAAAAGTTTTTTGTCTTTCTTTTGTTTGTTTTGTTTTTTTGGTCAACAAAACACTCAAATTGGTGCAAGCATGATAGAATTAAGCTCCTGAGACCTGTGGGAGCAGGAGGAAGAAAAGGGTTCCTTCTTTTGTCTGGGGTGTCAAGACAGGCTCCCTGGATGAGGACTGGGGTGGGAAGGGTGGGGGCGGTGAGCAGGAGTTAGGTAGATGAAGACCTGAGAGCTCAGTGTGATGAGAACCCATGGCACTGGGGATGTGCAGTGGCAAAAAGAATGAGAGTGAACAGATAGTTGAAGCCATGGTTACAAGTTTATGAATTAAGGAAAATGATTCTGTTTGAAACAATCCTGAACACTTTTGTATCAAAACTATTAAAATCTGATTTTTATTGATTTTTTTAAATTCCTCTGTAGGATAGATTGTAACTTACTAACTGGAGTTTTCTTTGTTAAAGAAAAGAGTTGTTGTTACCAACCTGAATGGCCACACTGCTCGGGTCAATTGCATACAGTGGATTTGTAAACAGGATGGCTGTAAGTATCAATCTGATTGTTAAAATTGATCTCAGTTGTTTCTTGACAAAGTATGATTAGTCATATTTTCATCACTTCTATTACTTTACCATTAGCTTATCTGATACTCTGCAATTGGGAAATAGAAGAAAAATGGTATGCCCAGTGAAATATCTGACCTGTACTTTTACTTTATAGCAATTAAAGCATAGATAACACAACAGTGCTTAGAATGAGGGTAGAGGCAGCCTCTGTCTATGGCAAGATCCCCACCATTGCTTAGTTTCTGCTCAAAGCCTGTGATCAGGACCCATGTTGGGCCCAGCCCAGGCTTGGATTCTGAAGATTTGGTTTGTGGGGCTGTTTCTGCCACAGAGAATCTATTGCTTTTTAGGCAGGACATTGCATTTTTTGTTTACTCCAGTTTGCACCTTTGTAATATATGAAAAGTGGAGGCTTGGAGTGGTACAGGGGACCCTTAGAGGTCTGTGACACCTGGGAGGTCAAAATTATTTTCAGATTACTACTAAGAGGTTATTCACTGCTTACATTCTCGTTCGATTCCAGTCATACAGTGGCACTTTCCAGCAGATTCACTATATGTGATACTTTAACAGATTAAATCCAGAAATAGATACGAAAATCTAGTTGTAGTTTAATGAAGTTACATGTTAAAGAGATTTTCAGAAATGTAAAACAGTGCCTCTCATTAATTTTTTGTTTAGGAAAATAAAGGGTTTTCCCTCACCATAAAATATTATATTTGTTAACATGTAATGGAGTTTAGTATTTTTAAATAAACTGACAAGCAAGTAGTTTTCAAGTTTCTCAGTTTAAATTTCTAGTGTGTTTAATGTTGGTACATATAGTCAGTCCATATAAACAAAAACTTTATGGGGTCCTCAAAAATTTTTTTTAAAGATTTTATTTATTTTTAGAGAGGGGAAAGGAGAGAGAACGAGGGAGGGAAACATCAGTGTGTGGTTGCCTCTCACAAACCCCCTACTGGGGACCTGGCTTGCAACCCTGGCATATGCCCTAGACAGGGAATCGAACCAGCAACCCTTTGGTTCACAGGCTGGCACTCAATCATTCCACTGAGCCACTCCAGCCAGTGTGGGTTCTCAAAAATTTTTAAGAGTGTAAAGGAGTCCTGACACCAAACAATTTGAAATTTCCTGGACTAGATCATCTCTAGATCTCATTTCTAAGGTTCTGTGATTCCAGAGTGTTTGATTAACATATTCCTTTTAGAAGGTGCCACCAAAATCCTGTGGAATTTCCTCAAATGTCTTAAATATACCTACTGTAGTTTTCTTACGGACTTTGAAATAATTTTAGTTTTTATTCCATAAATATTTTAAATTATTTTATTGATTATACTATTACAGTTGCCCCAGTTTTTCCCCCTTTGCCCACCTCCACCAGTACCCCCCATTCCCTCTGGCAATTTCCTCCACCCTTAGTTCATGTCCATGGGTCATGCACTTAAGTTCTTTGGCTACTCCATCTCCTGTACTATTCTTAACATCCCCTTGTCTATTCTGTACATACCAATTAGGCTTCTTAATCCCTGTACCTTTTTCCCATTCTCCTCCTCCCTCCTCCCAACTGATAACCCTCCAAATGATCTCCATATCTGTGAATCTGTTTCTGTTCTGCTTGTTTGCTTTGTTTTGTTTTTTAGATTCAATTGCTGATAATTGTGAATTTATTGCCATTTTAATATTCATCATTTTGATCTTTTTTCGTACATAATCCAATTTTTCATTTCATATAGTAATGACTTGGTGGTGATGAACTCCTTTAACTTTACTGTGTCTGGGAAGTATTTTATCTGTCCTTCAATTCTAAATGATAGCTTTGCTGGATAATCTAGATTGTAGGTCCTTGCTTTTTATCACTTTGAATACTCGTGGCCTATCACTTCTAGCTTGCAAAGTTTCTTTTGAGAAATCAGCAGACAGTCTTAATGGGAACTCTTTTGTAGGTAACTATCTGCTTTTCTTTTGCTGCTTTTAAGATTCTCTCTTTATCTTTAACCTTTGGCATTTTAATGATGATGTGTCTTAGTGTGGTCCTCTTTGCATCCATTTGTTTGGGGCTCTCTGGTCTTCCTGGATTTGTATGTCTATTTCCTTCAATAAATTAGGGAGGTTTTCTTTCATTGTTTTTTCAGATAAGTTTTCAATTTCTTGTTCTTTCTCTTCTCCTTCTGGCACCCCTATTATGTGAACATTGGTATGTTTAAAGTTGTTCCAGAGGCTCTTTAGCCTATCCTTGTTTTTTTTTTTTTAATATTCTTTTTTCTTCTTGTTGTCCTGATGGAATGTTTTTTTCTTCCTTACGTTTCAAATCATTGATTTGATTCTTGGCTTCATCTACTCCATTGTTACCTCTAGATTTTTCTTTATTTCACTTAATGTAACCTTCCTCTCTGCTTGGGTCTTTTTTTTGTTGCTGAAGTGTCCAGTGAGTTCCTTGAGCATCCTAATAACCAGTGTTTTGAACTCTGCAACTGATATTGCTTATCTCTATTTTGTTTAGTTCTTTTTCTGGAGTTTCTTTCTGTTCTTTCATTTGCACCACATTTCTTTATCTCCTCATTTTGGCAGCCTCCCTGTGTTTGTTTCTAGGAATTAGATAGAGCTGCTTTGACTCCCTGTCTTAGTAACATGACCTGTTGCAGAAATTACTCAGGGGCAAGTTGGCTGGGGTGGAGCTTTAGTTAATTGCCAGGGTGAGTCAGCCGGAGTGAACCAGGTTGATGGAGTCTCTGATGCAATGTGGCTCTGTGTGAGGGAGGGCTCAGAAAGGGGTTAGTGTTGCTGCTTTGCCTCTGGAGTTTTGTTCAGGAGGAGGCTGTTCCCCATCACCCACCCTAATGTCAGGTACTTCAGTTTCTTCCCGCACGCTGCTGTTGCCCTTTCAGCTGCTGCACTGGTGCTGGAGCCCAGAGGGAATAAGTCTGCATAAGACCTAAGTCTGTTGCAGGCTCTCCAAGAGAAGATGCCTGGGAATCCTGCAGTTTCTTCCACTGCTCTAACCTCCACTGGTTTTTACAAAAGGAAGCTAGGGGGACTTATATTCCTGGCACTGGAACCCTGTGCTGGATGGTGTGGTTTGGGGTAGGAACTCGTTCCCGAGGTATCCCTTCTGATTTTTATCTACCACGTGTGGACATGGGACTATCTTTTCTGTGTCTCTGAGTCTCTACCCCTCCTACCTGTTTGGATGAATGTGACTTCCTTAATTCCCTGGTTGTCAGACTTCCATACGGGTCAATTTTCTGATGAATCTGGGTGATAGTTGTAATTTTTGCAGTGATTGTGTGAGGAGGCGAGGTGTGTTTACCTATGCCTCCATTTTGGCTGGAAGTCCCCATAAACATTTATTAAGAGCATCCTGAGCCAGGTACAAGTGGAGAATTTCCTGAGTTAGTGAGACTCTGGTATGATTTTATTTGTGACATTAGAAGAAGTTAAATAGGCTCCTTATTTCAATTAGTAATGCAGTATTAGTCACATTAGGTCAGTGGAAACCATTAAATAGTAGAAAGAGTGGCTGTTAGTGCAGACATTAAAACACAATTGTAATTTTACTAATTGCCACCAAATGACATTACAGACTACTTAAATATCAGTGTAGGGATTCATTATAAAATATTAATTTGGGCTTGTATATTTTATCTTCCCTTTAAAAGTGAGGTTATATAAAGCAAATTGCTTGACATCACTAATTTTTAACTATTAGGATTGATTTCCTCTAAGACGAGGGCTCTACCAACAGATAATTTAGCTATTCTTTCCAACCCCTGTATCAGGTACCTTATAGTAATTCTCAAAATCACGTAGGTAGATAAATAGCTTAATTTCTCTGATGCATAAAGAAATTAAATCCCAAGGTCACAGCTGGCTGACAGCAGGGTTAGGACAGAACCTGGGACTTCTGAGTCCTTATCTGATGCTCTTCAGACAGTTCCCAGCTACTGCTTCTAAATGTCTAGCGCACAGGACAGAAGAAACAAATAAATGGCAAATCCAAACAAAAATGATTTATTATCTTCCCCTTCTTAAAAATCGAGATTGCGGGACATTCTGTAAAACAACTGGCTGGGATGCTCATTATCACACAAAAAGAAGGGACTGGGATGCTATTCTACGTGAAAGGAGACTGAAAAAGGTGACAGCTAAGCACACAATGTGTGGTCTTTCTATTCTTAATTTAAAAAGTTATAAAAGACATTACTGGGACAGTTTGGAGAAATGTTGTGTATATTACGTAATAATACTGTATCACTGCTGAAAGTCTTGAATGTGGTAATGTAGGGGAATGCTCCATTTCTTAGGCGATCCATAGCTAAGTGTTTGAGGATCAGAGGTCCTGATGTCTGCAACTTATTTCTCCCTAGCTGTCAGAAACAAAAAGGGGTCTGTGTGTACATCGGGTGGCGTAAAGTAGGTTTACAGGTCTGAGTACGTGAAACATATTTTTGTATTATTAATTATTGTATTATTTTTCCATGCAAACAACTGTAAACCTTCTTTTGCCCACCCTGCGCATATATAGAGAGAGCAAGCTATTTATCAAATATGACAAGTGTTAACAGTTGGTGAATCTAGGTATATAAGTTTTCTTATATCTTTTCTATAGCTTTGAAAGTTTTCAAAGTAGCTGGTAAAAAAAATAAAAATATTTACCAAGATATAATTTTTTGCAGCTCCTTCTACTGAATTAGTTTCTGGAGGATCTGATAGTCAAGTGGTTCACTGGGAAATAGAAAATGATCAGGTGGGTAGACATGTTTATAGTTGTAAGAAATGACTGTTATATCTGCTTTTGTTTTCAATTTCTTTCTCCTTTCTATTGTGTTCTTCCTTTATGAAGTTGCCTCATTCTTGCTTATCAGTAATTCAGATCCTTTATTTTTCTGTACTTCCACAGAGCTGTACCCTTCCCTCTAAAATTTGCTCCCATATGATATGCTATCAGTCATTTTTGTGAACTTCTGATTATTTTGAAATAATTTTCAAACTGTTCTTACATGGGTTGTTTGATCTGAGTTCAGTGAGTAGCAAAAATTAATTCTGCTGTGTTCACAGGATAACTGTTGCTATGTGGATATAGATTCACATAACTCTGAGTGATGTTATCATGTGTAGTGCTGGGTATGGATGGACCTCTATTGATGGATATTTAGGTCGTTTCTAGTTGTAAGAAAAGATTAAAAGTGAAAAGTTAGTACACTAGATATTTGTACATCTGCCATACTGAAGATGGAGATAAGACAAAATCCTATTCATGAAACATACATAGTTTGAAGGCTGAATATACTTGAATAAAGTACAGTACAAGGTAGGTGCTCTAACTCGCCATCCCCCAACCATGGTACAGTGAGTTCAGAAGAGATTTTTAAGAGGTGGCCTTTGAGTTGGTTCTTAAAGTGTGAGGTGATTTCCTTGGGAGGAGTTAAAGGGGTGAGAATTCTTGGTAGGAAAAATAGCGTAAATAAAAGCTCAGGTGAGAAAACAGAGTACCTGGTCAGGAGTATCTGGTTTTAACCAAAGCCTAAGACGTCTTTAGGGCTTTCTAAAGTGTGTTCAGAGAATTACTCATCTTTTAAGACGTTCCATGAAAAAAGGAATCTGATCAATCAAGTTTGGGAAACACTGCATATCCTATACATATGTCTCTTAGAGAATCCCAATGCACATGAGCCTAGAGAGGGCTCTGAAAAGTTCTTTCGTGGACGAATCTGCTTATCTTTGTTTAATTTACATTTCCCAAAATTGTTTCAAGTTTGAACTTTTTTCTTTTAAATCTCTTAGCAGCCCTTGTAACTTTGAGGAACATGGTTTTGGAAATGTTTCTAGATAATACATGTGGGCAGTAATACTTGAGAAACAATAGAGATGATCCTATGGGAGTTTGAACACTTGCTTTAAGAGTTTATTCTTTTTTTTTTTTGTAATAGGTGAGCTAAGTTTTTTTTTAAGATTTTATTTATTTATTTTTAGAGAAAGAAGGGAAGGAGATAGAGAGAGAGAAACATCAATGTGCGGTTGCTGGGGGTTACGGCCTGCAACCCAGGCATGTACCCTGGCTGGGAATCGAACCTGCAACACTTTGGTTCGCAGCCCGTGCTCAGTCCACTGAGCTATGCCAGCCAGGGCTGAGAGATTTCTTTTGAGTTTCTTAAGTTTTTTGATGGTTGAAATACAATCCTACTTAAAGATGTGAAATATTTTCAATAGATATAATTTTTTAAGCCGTAATGATAAAGATTCATATAAAGAAGTTTAAATATAGAAAAATATAAAGAAGAAAAACCTATATACAAAATCTCAACAGATTTAACATACTGGTGAACATTGTCTCAGATCTCTAGTATATGTACAATCATACATACTGTATGTAAGTTATTTAAAATGTTTTTTTCAAAGAAGCCAAAGGTTAATGATGAAAGGAAGTTAGTGTGTAGACCCTTATACATAACTATTAATTACTTTCTGGAATGGCAGAGTTCTGCCTAAGTAATGGGGAAACAGCTGACGAGACACTTAAGGGACACCAGTATTTCAAAAAACAATTTATGGAAGCTACTTCTCAAAGGAAGTGGTGCAATTTCACACATTTTGGAACTCTAAGATATACACCTAAAATAGCAGAAATGATGCCATGGTGAAGAATCTTGCATGGTAAGCAAATGAATTACCAGTTCTGTGTGCCATTTTTCCATTTTGCAGCCATGATTGATTCAGGCAAGTGTCATGAGGGGATGCTGAAAATTCTTGGTGGTGGTTTGATGGAGAATAGAATATTTACTCAGCCCAAGTGTAATCTCATACATTATCAACCAAAAAAAATTGAACTTCACAGTAAAAAAATCTGGCAGACAGTACCTTGACTGCATTATCAAGGTTAACTTCACTAAAATTGGGACAAACTGACATCTGGTGATGTTATGCACTTAGGTAGTAATGATGTCAGAATTTGTATCCTGAATCTGTTCATGATGAAACATCAGACTAATCCCAAAAGGAACGTTCCACAAAGCTGACCTGTGTTCTTCAAAAATCTCAATGTCATGGATGTCTTTCCATGGTAATAATCATATATTTATCTATATTATCCTTTTTATTAGCTAAAGTATATGCCTACAACAATTAATCAGTTCCCTATTAATTCTTGGTTGATTTTTTTTTAACATTATAAAGAATGTGTGATCCATGCCTGTATCCTCCACCCAAAAAAAAAAGAGAGTGTGATGAATATCCTTTTATTATTTGTTACACTCTTGCTGTTAGGGTCTCAGAGTAGATTCTTAGATGTCAGATTGCTGTGTCAAGGGTATGCACAATTTCTGTGTCATTAATATGGTCAGACAAATTTCTCCAAAGTATACATTTTCTTCAACTGAAAGGGCCTATTTCTGGGACACATTTTAACAGTACCATTAATCTTATAATTCCAGTTAAATAAAGTTAAAAGTGATAATTCCTTTTGTATCATAATGTTTTTGTCATTTTTTTCTCATTCAGCTTTTAAAATCTGTCCATCTCTATGGCCATGAGGGACCTGTCTATGCAGTGCACGCTGTTTACCAGAGGAGGGCATCAGATGATGCATTCCGTACACTGATCGTTTCTGCAGCTTCAGATTCCACTGTCCGAGTCTGGTCTAAAGAGGGTTCACAAGGTGTGTTTAGAGACATTATCCAAACCAATGAAATAGTAATTATCAAACAAATGACAACCAGAAGAGCAAACATATAATTTCTTTTAGTTTTTCAAGCAGCTTTAAAAACACTTTAATTCTAATCTAAATGTTTGTGGTTTTTGCACTTCTTCAAAATTCCTTATACCAAATGATTTGTTAATGTGAATTTCCTCAGCCAGGGGTGTCCAATCCACAACCTGCAGGCTGCATGCGGCCCAGGAAGGTTATGAATACAGCCTCACACAAAATTGTAAATTTACTAAAAACCTTTTTTTTGCTCATCAGTTTTTATTCACGTGTGTCTATTTAATGTGTGGCCCAAGACAACTCCTCCTCTTCCAATGTGGCCCAGAGAAGCCAAAAGGTTGGACACCCCTGCACCTTTGCATATAAGTAATTTTGTTCTCTAACCTTGTTAAACATTGACCATTTATATTCACATGGTCAGTAGGGGCTCAGGATTGACTTCTGTCATCTCCCTGCTAATGTGATGATGCTATGCAGCCTCTCTAGGTGGATAACTCAGAGTTAGTCATTCATGGTGTGTTTCATTATTTTTTTAGTAACATGTCTTCAGACCTTGAACTTCGGAGATGGATTCACTCTGACTGTCTGCTTATCTTTTTTGCCTAATACTGATGGTGAGTATCCTGTTAAGTTCATGTTAATAGAGCAATATATATTTTTATATCTTCATATGACAGAACCTAAAAGAAACATATTGAGTCTCAATTTTGTATCTAAATTTTTTCATGAAACAGGTTGAGACCTAGCTAATACACTTTGTTTTCAGTATTCAAATTATCTGAGCATAGGACATAAGAGTAAGGGAGGCTGTTTGGAATTTTGGTGGCTGTTTAAAGTTTACCCCAATAAATTCAATAAAAAGGAGAAAAAATTAAATGACTTAATATGAAATCAAGATCGATATTGCTGTTTATCATGTATAGAGCCCAGCAGAAGTAAGGCCTGCTTGAGTGTGGTTGGTAGAATAATATGGGTATAATAATTTATAGTTTTAATTTGAACATTTCACCTAAAATGTCATATGGTGTGCTTGAGTGTGATAGTGTTATGTTACAGAATTACATGCTTGTGATTTTGTAATTAAAAAGGGCATTATTTGTGCTAGACCATGTATATTGCCAACTTATGTAGATCTAATTTAGGAAAATTGTCTAACTCTTCAGAAGGTGAAGGTCTGGGATAAGCTGAAAAAGTATTGAAGATGGACCAGGAGCATTTCTTTCAGGAGAACCCTCCATGTGATTTCCATTTCTATAGTTTTGTTCCTGTTCTAGTTGTTTGCTAAGTTTCTTTTTGCTTTTGTTTTAGGTGTGGTTGTTAATAATTGTAAGTTTGCTGTTGTTTTACTATACATGTTTTTTATCTTTTTCTTAGATAAGTCCCTTTAACATTTCATAAAATAAGGACTTGGTGATGATGAACTCCTTTAACTTGACCTTATCTGAAAAGCACTTCATCTGCCCTTCCATTCTAAATGAAAGCTTTGCTGGATAGAGCAATCTGGGATGTAGGTCTTTAATTTTCATGACTTGGAATACTTCTTTCCAGCCCCTTCTTGCCTGTAAGGTCTCTTTTGAGAAATCAGCTGATAGTCTGATGGGAACTCCTTTGTAGGTTACTGTCTCCTTATCTCTTGCTGCTTCTAGGATTCTCTCCTTCATTTTTACCTTGGCTAATGTAATTATTATGTGCCTTGATCTGTTCCTTCTTTGGTCCAACTTCTTTGGGACTCTCTGAGCTTCCAGGACTTCCTGGAAGTCTATTTCCTTTGCCAGAATGGGGAAGTTCTCTTGTATTATTTGTTCAAATAAGTTTTCCACTGGTAGCTCTTCCTCTTCTCTGGTACCCGTATAATTCGGATGTTGGATCGTTTTAAGATGTCCTGGAGGTTCCTAAGCTTCTCTTCATTTTTTTTTGAATTCTTATTTCTTCATTCTTTTCTGGTTGTTTTTTTCTTCCTTGTGGTCCACACTATTGATTTAAGTACCAGTTTCCTTCCCATCACTATTGGTTCCCTGTGCATTTTCCTTCATTTCTTTTATGGTAACCTGCATTTGTTCATCTAATTTGCGACCAAAATCAACCAATTCTGTGAGCTTCCTGATCACCAGTGCTTTGAACTGTTCATCTGATTGGTTGCCTGTCTCTCGGTTGCTTAAAAAAACTGGCTCTGGGGCTTTTAATTCTGTTTGAGCCATCTTTTTTATTTTATTTTTTTTTTCCTTTGGTCTGGTTGCACCTGTTACATGTGAGGGGCGGAGCCTTAGGTGTTCACCAGGGCGGGTTACTCCAGTCGCTGGGTTGTGACGCTGTATGTAGGTGTGGGGTCCAAGAGGGAACAGTGTTGCTTGCTCTGCTTTCTGTGGGACCTCAGTCCCTTCCGCTACTTCCCCCAAGCAAACTGGGCCCCTCTGGTGTCAGTTTCCATATGGGTGGGCTTGTGCATGCTGTTGGACCCTCCAAGGACCTCTCCTGAGAGGCTGGGAGTCCCTCCCTGCTCCTCAATCCCCACAGGTATCCTCAATCAGTGCCCCAAGGCTCTATTTCCCAGCGCTGTGATCCTGGGTTGCACGCAGTGCCTTGTTTCACAATTGCTGCCTTGCTGGGTCTGCTGTTTGCCACCCCTTGGCTGGGGTCTGCCAGCTGCGGCTTGCGCAGTTAGGGTCCACCTGCTGCGCGGTCCTGTGCATGGATGCCTTACATGCCCAGTCCCAATACTCTCTGCACCGCAACCCACGCCTGCTGCAACCCATGCCTGCCCACCGCAACCCACGCCTGGCTGCCCGACTCCACCCCTCCTACCGGTCTGGATGAACACGTGTATTTTCTTGGTTGTCTGACTTCCATTCAGATCAATTTTCTGTCAGTTTTGGTTGTTATTTTGTTTCTAAATTGTTGTTTTCCCTATCTTGGTTGTGCAAGGAGGCACAGTGTGTCTACCTATGCCTCCATCTTGGCCGGAAGCTGGAGTTTATTATTTTTGTTTTTAGTGTGTTTAAGGTTGAAAATCTTTGAAGAACCTACTTGGTTGCAAGGTGTTTCCTTAGAGAAAGAGTTCCTGTTTTATTTTGCTCTACAGTTATTAGGGCTATCCTTTGGTAATGTAAATTAGATTTTTGTGCTATTAAAGAAATCTAATTTTATAGTTGCACCTTTCATAGCTTTTTAACCACATATTTACTTACATACTCTTTTATATGGTTCTCTAGTTGCTTCAGGAATTTTGTTTTACTGTTGAATTCTCAAACAAAATGTAAGGTCCTTAAAGTAACAAACATACCATTACACCTTTGTGCAGTTACCATGATGCCAGGCTTGTAGTAGCTCTTCCATTTTATTATTCATTGGCTCTTTGTATTAGTTGTCTGGCTGACAGTGAAAATGACCCAAACTTTCCCTCAAGCTTCTCTTTTCACTGCTTCTTCTATCATAAAATACATCTAATGGAGAAAAATAACTCTCTATCAGTAGTCATTTTTTGTCAAGTAACCATGTAATAGAACATTTTAGAGTGTTCACTTGATGCCAGTAGATATGTATTGAGCACTTTCAGTTTATTTGTTCAATGATGTGAGAAAAAGAAGTCAGAGTTCTTTATTTAGAGTTTAGAATACAGCACAGGTGATAATCATAACATATGATGGAATACTTAACAGTGAAAATCGCTTTTTCCCCCCAGTGCCAATATTAGCATGTGGCGATGATGACTGCAAAATCCACTTATTTGTTCAACAAAATGACCAGGTAATTAATGACATTCATTAAGGGACTGGCATTAGCTTCTGCTTAATTACATTTCTTAATACTATTTCAAGATTACAGAATTTTGGGAATGTTCTCATCTAAACCAAAATAAATCAAGAGGAGTAGTTTTTTTAACAATTCTCAGCTAAATGGTTTCATACTCTCTGAACACCAAACAACTACTGCCTTGACTATCAGGTGCAGAGTTGTTAGGAGGAAACAGGTCCTTGAGTAGGTGAAGAAGAGAAGGAAGATACTGCGGTAGTGTTTTTTCTTTAAAATTTTAAATGAAATGTGTTAACCCTACACTTCCTGGCGTAGCGTTTTTTTTGTCCTTCTGAGCTTTATGTACACTTTGAGTGGTTAAACTAGGAGAGGGAATTTCTAGAAAGAGCGTTGGTTAACTAGGCTCATTTATTAAATAATAATGGAGATACTTGTTTCTTTGCATTCTGTAAGACAGTTTAAAATGGTTGTGAATGTCCAACTACCCAATTTTATCTGTTACATCATATCATATGTCATTCTATTATGTTAACATTTAGAGTATTTGATGTCTACAGATATTATCTAACCAATGTTGCTCAATTAGATGATTATGAGATTTTTCATATGAGACCTCTGTCTCACGTCTAGTCAGATAATGTTCCCTGTTTTAAAAAAAAGATTCAGCAGGGACTGGCTGAGACCAAATGAAATCAGTGATATGATATACATGAAAATATTAAATTCTTGCACCAAGCATGATAATTTTTATCTTACTAGTTCCAGAAAGTGCTTTCTCTCTGTGGACATGAGGATTGGTTAAGAGGCGTGGAATGGGCAACCTTTGGTTAGTATGAAATTTTGCTGAAATACATGTGATGGGGACAAGTGTGTGTAACTTCCAAGAAAGCAGTCTCCTATGTTTTAATTTTAAACTTTCTTTGTATGTAATATTTTTCTGTAGTCCCAATTAGAAAAGAGGACACTTATCCCTTCTGTTAACTATTGATTGGGGTGGTAGAAGGTGAAACAAGTTGATGTTTAAAAGAGGGCAAGAGCTGACTATTCTGCATGCAGACATTCTGAGAAGCTCTTTATATATCTTAGTGGACTGTGTATAGGAATACCATGTGCTGCAACCATTTATTAGCATTGTATACTCATTTGTCAATGTCAGTAAAACTGAATATAGGTCAGGTGAATGAAGGGTAAGGGAGCAAAGTCTAATTTTTTTTTTCAGGAAATCTAGAAATGTGCATATTATAGAGAAGAAAGTCTTATACCTTAATTTAAGAATATAATGCTAGAAAAATAATAAATTTCGTTTTTTAATTAGGTAAAGATCTTTTCTTAGCAAGCTGTTCACAAGATTGCCTGATACGAGTATGGAGGCTGTATATAAAATCGACATCATTAGAAACTCAGGATGATGATAATATAAGACTGAAGGAAAGTACTTTTACTGTAGAAAATGAAAGTGAGTAATAATGAAAATTTTAATGTGCTAATACTTAGGTCTCCTAGCTGATTCATTCATGTTTTACTTTATACCAATGTGAAGATTAGTTTTTCAGAAGTATCAGAGCTGTACATGAAACTTGATACTATGCATTTTTCCTTTTTTTATTTTTGTGGAATGATGAGTTGCTCTTCATATAAGAAAATTTTCTTCAAAGCAATATTAGTGAGAGTTTTTTTAAATTGCCTGAAAAAATATATATTTTAATCCTCACCTGAGGGCATGTTCATTGATTTTGAGAAAGAGAGAGAGAAGAAGATCTATTAGAAAGAGAAACATTGATTGGTTGCCTCTTGTATGTGTTCCCACCGAGAATTGAACCCACGACCTTTTGGTCTACTGGGCAACACTCCTGAGCCATCTGGCCAGGGCAACTGAAAATATTTTGAATGTTTTCTCAGTAAATTTGTATAATGTTACTAAATTTGTAATTTTAGCATAGAAGGATCTACAGTAATAATATTAATTATTTGTACCTTTGTAGAAAAATATTTTATAAGACAAGCTAAATTCCTACATTTGAGTAGTATATAATTCTGACATTCTTATTGTCTTGTATCAGAACAATGCTCCTGCGTGATGTCTTGATTCTGTTGAAATAATTGTATTTGAAGGAGTTATTTTTAAAAAATTTTTGTTTGTTTGTTTTTGAAGAAGGTATTTTTGGATGTGTATCTAAATTATAAAGTTAGTTCTCAGTGAGCATTGTTCTCCCAGGAATTCTCTTTGTTTTTCTCTTCTTGGTTATAAAACCTGTAAGAACTGAGATATTGGTAACAGTTTTATGGGGGAGAGCCAAGAAATACTATAACGAACATATTATGAGTAGATATTCCCAAACTTGAATTTTTTTTTAAAGATTTTATTTATTCATTTTCAGAGAGAGAAGAAAAGGAGAGAAATATCAATGTGTGGTTGCCTCTTGTGCACCCCCTGCTGGGGACCTGGCTGGTAACCCAGGCATGTGCCCTGACAGAATCGAACCGGCGACCCTTTGGTTTACAGCCTGTGCTCAGTCCACTGAGCTATACCAGCCAGGGCCCAAACTTGAATTTTTAAAATATTTCTATTAACTATTTTGTTTGAAATGTCATGATACTGATTTTACTTTCTTATGCATGTATCTTAATATTTTTAAAATATTTTATTAATTTATTTTTACAGTGGGGAAGGAAGGGAAGAAGAGAGGGAGAGAAACATCAGTGTGTGGTTGCCTCTTGTGTGCCCCCTACTAGGGAACTGGCACACAATCCAGACATGTACCCTGACTGGGAATTGAACGGGCAACGCTTTGGTTTGCAGGCCAGCACTCAATCTACTGAGCCACACCAGCCAGGGTCTTGTTTATCTTAATTTTTAAAAAAGAGTATTCTAGGTTATTATACTGTGATGGTGAGTGAGCATAGCTAGGAGGCTGGCGTGTTTGTGTTTGCTTTTAAAATGTAGTATGACAATAGCTGTCTCAGAAAATAGAGCATATTCCTTAGTATTTATTTTTGACTGGGAAGAGACAAAGGTGGAGGAAAATTTATCTATCTTTAGACCTTTTCTCCTGTAATTTTGAACAATGGTGAAGTTAATGAAATTTAGAATGTATGTTCTTTCGGTTGACTCTGATAAATCATGTTTTGTTCTTTTTTTTTTTTTTCTGGCTATAAATGTACAACTGAATGGTTATGAAAATGTTCCTTTTGGAAGAGCATTGAAGAAAGTACTTCTTCATTGCTTTTGTTATAGGTACTAAAACAGCATTTGCAGTTACTCTGGAGACTGTTTTGGCTGGTCACGAAAACTGGGTAAACGCAGTTCATTGGCAGCCATCATTTTACAAAGGTAGGAAGAACAACATACACGTATCCCTCATTTCAGTTATCTCTCATGTACAGAATTTTAAGCTGACCAAATAAAATGGAGCATATTTTTTAGTGTGATTAGAAATCTCAAATGTAAAACATTTTCAAGTTGACAAAGTGTAATACTTCAGTCCTCTTCTTCTGGATACTCAATTCCACTAAAAACTGTACGCATATATTTGGCTAAATACATGGTGACAGGAAGACTGTTTGACTGTGGGTGCTGGGCACACGATGCAATCTACAAGATCATGTATCATAGAAATGTACACCTGAAACCTATATGGTCTTCTTAACCAATGTCACCCCAATAAATTTAATAAACAAAGAGAAAAGACAGTTGTACTCCTGAGTAGGAAAAGGATGATTCCTGCCATGATGCTGAAATCACCTCATCTATTAGCTTTTTTCTGACAAGTGTTGGACTAATCTTTATGAGATTTAAGAGAAATTGCCTTTCAGGGAAACCTTACTGGATTCTTTACCCTTGGCAATACAAAGTGGGTAATAATGACACACATAATTTGTGAAAAAATAAGACCGCCCCCCTCTTCCTTTTGCCCTTACCCTCCATTTATGGAGTGATGCATGCTTAAGCTGGTGCTTGGGTGTAGAGCTGAGTAAGGCACAGCTCATGTTCTTCCCACAGCCCCTTCCCCAACACAACAGAGAGTATCAATAATGTTCAGGTAATCACCATTCAGCTTTTATTATATTATGCCTTATGTGCTGCAGTTAGAAAAGAACCAGATATTATAGATACTGAGGACCTCTGTGAACCCTTGCCCCTCCATCCTTCCCTGTAGCCAACTAGAGTACTGAATTTAGGGCATTACCATTCCTGTTCCTATGCATGGTTTTGTACTTTAACTACACATTTATGTGGCCATAAACAGTACTTTTACAGCTATTAAAATGATAGTGTACTTATCCTGTTATAACTTGCCTCTTTAGCTTAACATGCTAAAGATTTGGAGTTGTATCCATGTTGTTTCATGTAGCTCTAGTTTTATTTTTATTGCAGTTCAGTATTCCACTGTCTAAATATACCACAACTTGTTTACCTGTTTTTCTAACGGTAGATGTTTGTGTTGTTGCCAACATTTTGCTATTGCATTGCTGAAGTAAACATTTTTGCAGTATCTGTGGTGGTTTTTTCCCCAGTAATCTATAAACATGATGCCTGCTAAAAACCTAAAGAAACTAATTTATATTTTTTAGATGGTGTTCTACAACAGCCAATGAGATTGTTGTCTGCCTCAATGGATAAAACCATGATTCTCTGGGCTCCAGATGAAGAGTCAGGAGTTTGGCTAGAACAGGTAAAAATAGGAATGTTTAAGAAATAAAAAATTGGATTTAAAACTTAATATTTAATAGCTAGAGCCCCAATGTTCACTCTTTGTATATGTTTATTAACTGAGAACATAATCTCTGGAATCAGTGGTTTCTGTTGTGAGAAATGTGGACTATTGATAACAAATTGTTTTCTATCTATTATTGCATAGGTTCGAGTAGGTGAAGTAGGTGGAAATACTCTGGGATTTTATGACTGCCAGTTCAGTGAAGATGGCTCTATGATAATCGCTCATGCTTTCCATGGAGCATTGCACCTTTGGAAACAGAATACAGCTAACCCAGTAAGAAAAACACTTTTAAATAAAGCATTTGTGATCAAGTAGAGTGAATCCTGAATGAAACTTAGGTTAACAGTGTTGTTTTTCTTATAACACTCTACAGGAACATAGGAGAGGCATTTAAGTTCAAATGACATCACTTCTTTTTGTGAACATTATACTGCAGTTTACTAGATAACAAGCTTATGTTTCTCTAAGAATTAAAGCACTTTTCCAGAATTCGTTGACATTTTGAAATTTGCCCATAGGTCTGTTTTCTACATAAGTGAACTTTAAACTACATAAATTTTAGGTTCTCCCTTTAAGCTATAAAAAAATTTTATGGGAGTTTTTTCTAAAATGTGTACCTTCCTTGTCTTAAAAGGAGTTAACTTAGTTTGATATTTTCTTGTTGAATGGTAGGTACTCCATAGATAATTATTGAATGAATGACTGACAAAATGGCATTCTAAGAGCTTGTTATTTTGTGACAGAATATATTGATGCTCTCAGGGACTGTTAATATGTGTAATTCTACACGGCCCTCCAAGTATTAAGCTAATTTAGTTTTTTCTTATAATTTTTGTTTCTTCCCAAAGAGGAGTAGTCTTCCTTTAATCATGCTCATCATTATTTGATCTCTTTACTTTCTAATTTGCTTCTTATGTGCTGCGTGGGCAAATGAAATAGGAACATAGTGGCTAAAAGCACAGGCCTTGGAAGTGGATATCCTGGGTTCAAGTTCTGCCCCAGCACTCACTGACCAGCTGTGTGTCCTTGAGGACATTGCGTAAGCTCTGTCTCAGGCTCCTCATTTGTAAAATGTGGACAGTAAGAGCACCCACTCAAAAGATTTTTATAATGCTTAAATGAATTAATATTTGTACAGTGTTTAAAAAACGGCCTGGCATATCATACTTTTAAATAAGAAATATTTAAGGGGATAAATTTAATTTCATTCTTAATTCAGAGCTCATTTGAGCCGTATTTCAGGTCTTTGAGAGCCTTCATAGAAGAAAGCATCAGATGAGTAAGTAGAAACTCAAACCAGGAGACAGAATTTCACTGTTTATGCTTTTAATTTGGCTTCAAATTTATCATAGCTACTTACAAGTATAGAGGGTGATTTTTTTAATTGACTTCATTTTTTAGAGCAGTTTTAGGTTCAAAGAAAAATTGAATAGAAAGCACAAAAGGTTCATAAATACTTATGGCCCCACACATACAGAACCTTCTGCATTGTCAACATCCCAGGCCGGAGAGATACATTTGTTACAATCAAGAGTGATTTTTATTTTTATTTATTTATTTGTAGAGAGAGGAAGGGAGTGAAAAAGAGAGGGAGAGAAACATCAATGGGTGGTTGCTTTTTGTGCATTCCCTACTGGGGACCTGGCCCACAACCCAGGCATGTGCCCTGACTGGGAATCGAACAGGTGACTCCTTGATTCTTGGGCTGGTGCTCAGTCCACTGAGCCACACCAGCCAGGGCCCAAGAGTGATTTTTAAAATCAAACACTGCCCTTTAGGACTGACATTGGAAGATTGTACTAATTCCAAAAGTGCTGTTCTTTGTTCAGAACTTTTTGGACACTTTCATTAGTGCTAGCTTTAGAATCAGTTTTTATGTCACAGAGGAAAGGAATAGCATTTCTCTGTCAAAGCCTTTTTATATTATTATTTATTTATTTTTAATGGACTTTTGGGGGGGGGCATTGATTTGTTTTTCCACCCATTTATGCATTCATTGGTTGCTTCTCCTATGTGCCCAGAACAGAGATAGAACCCACAACCTTGACATATCAGGACATTGCTTAAACCAACTGAGCTACCTGGTCAAGGCATCTTTTTATATATTTGACCAGAAATAATATAACTTAGCTTAATCACTAACCCCATTCATTAGATTTGGCTTTGAATGACCTTGTAGGTATTTACACAAATTTAATTTTCCTCTTAAAACAAGTTTTACCACCACTTAAGCCTGGTTCAAAAAGATGCTTTGTGGACCAAGCATAAGACTTTTCTGTATTTCATTGTCACTGTTTATTTTTTTAAGATTGTATTTATTTATTTTTAGAGAGAGAGAAGGGAGGGAGAAAGAGAGGGAGAGAAATATCAGTCTTGCACATGCCCCAAATGGGGACCAGGTCCAAAACCCAGGCATGTGCCCTAACCAGGAATCAAACTGATGACCTTTTGGTTTGCAGGGCAGTACTCAGCCAACTGAGTTACTGTTTATATTGTGGCTGGTGCAGACTTCCTCAGTAAATGGACCAACTAGGTTTGATTCACCCTTCTGTCTTCTACACCTACAGTTCCTTTTACTTTGTAAAGAAAGCGATTGAGACACATGCTCAGAATCTATTAACTCATTTTACATGGTATTCTTTCCTTATTTAGAATAAAAAATACATAGTACCTAGTATATGTTGCCATTGTTCTGTGTGGTTTACAAATATAAACTCATTTTTTTGTATGTATGTATGTATTTATTATTTTTATCTTTGTTCAAGTACAGTTTTCTCCCTTTTACTCTGATTCCAGCCCACCCACCCAACCCTTCCCGCTTCCCTTCCATTACCACCTTCCCCCAAGTTTTTGTCCATGTGTCCTTTAAATTTGCTCCTGTAAACCCTTCCTATTCTCCCCTGAACTTTCCTCTTCTCTCCCCTCTGGTCACTGTCAGCCTGTCCTCTATTTCAGTGTCTTTGGTTATATTTTGCTTGTTTCTTTGTTTTGTTGTTTAGGTTCCTGTTAAAGATGAGATCATATGGTATTTGTCTTTCACTGCCTGGCTTATTTCATTTAGCATATAGCTTTCCAGCTTCATCCAAGCGGTTGCAAAGGGTAGGAGCTCCTTCTTTCTTTTTGCTGCATAGAATTCCATTGTGTAAATGTACCATAGTTTTTTGATCCATTCATTTACTGATGGGCACCTAGGTTGCTTCCAGCACTTAGCTATTGTAAATTGTGCTGCTATGAACATCGGGGTGCATAGGTTCTTTTATATTGGTGTGTTAGTGTTCTTCTGATATAATCCCAGCAGTGGAATTGCTGAGTCAAAAGGCAGATCCATTTTTAGTTTTCTGAGGAAATTCCATACTGTTTTCCACAGTGGCTGCACCAGTCTGCAATCCCACCAACAGTGCACTAGGGCCCCCTTTTCTCCACATCCTCTTCCAACACTTGTTTGTTGCTTTGTTTGTGATGGCCATTCTGACCGGTGTGAAGTGGTATCTCATTGTGGTTTTAATTTGCATCTCTCTGATAACTAGTGATATTGAACATTGTTTCATGTGTCTTTGGATCCTCTGTATGTCCTCCTTGGAGAAGTGTCTGTTCAAGTCCTTTGCCCATTTTTTAATTGGGTTGCTTGTCTTCTTACAGTGGAGTCGTGTAAGTTCTTAATATATTTTGGAGCTTAAACCCTTGTCTGAGGTATCATTGGCAAATATGTTTTCCCATACAGTTGGCTCTCTTCTTATTCTGATACTGTTTTCTTTAGCTGTGCAAAAGCTTTTTATTTTGATGAGGTCCCATTTGTTTATTCTTTCCTTTATGTCCCTTGCTCTAGGGGACATGTCAGTAAAAAAGTTTCTGCGTGAAATATCTGAGATTTTCCTACCTACGTTCTCCTCTAGGACTTTAATGGTGTCACGGTTTATATTTAAGTCTTTTATCCACCTAGAATTTATTTTTGTATAAGGTATAAGTTGGTGCTCTAATTTCATTTTTTTGCACGTAGTTGTCCAGTTCTCCCAACACCATTTGTTGAAGAGGCTATTTTTACTCCATTTTATGTTGCTGCCTCCTTTGTCAAATATTAATTGACCATAGAGACTTGGGTTTATTTCTGGGCTCTTTGTTCTGCTCCATTGGTCCATGTGCCTGTTTTTATGCCAGTACCAGGCTGTTTTGATTACAGTGGTCTTGTAATATAGTTTAGTGTCAGGTATTGTGATCATTCCTACTTTACTCTTCTTTCTCAAAATTGCAGCAGCTATTCAGGGTCATTTATGGTTCCATATAAATTTTTGAAGTGTTTGTTCTATGTCTGTGAAATAAGTCATTGGTACTTAATAGGTATTGCATTGAATGTGTAAATTGCTTTGGGTAATATGGACATTTTGATGATATAAATATAAACTCATTTAATTCTTATAATGATTCTTTGAGTTAGGTAATTTTACAAAGGAGTTAATTTAGGCACAAAAATGTTGAGTAGAGTTTGGCTTCTAAGAGGCACTTAATAAGTAATGAATGGAGGGGCCCTGACTGGTGTGGCCCAGTTGGTTGGGCATCCTCCTGCAAAAGGAAAGGTTGCCGGTTTGATTCCATGTCAGGCCACATGCCTGGGTTGTGGGTTTGGTCTCCAGCTGTGGCGTGTATGGGATGCAACCAATCACTGTTTCTCATATTGATGTTTCTCTCCCTCTCTCCCTCCCTCCCCTCCCTCTAAAAATAAACAAATAAAATTTAAAAATAATGAATGGAGGGGAATTTCCCAGAGTTACTGCTTTAAAGGATACAGGACACATTTAAATGTTTAAATTCTAACATGCTTGGCTGGAAAACAGATTCTATAATTTTAATAGCTCATCTTGTTTACTTAGTTTTTCACCTTGCTTGGGGGGCTTCTGTCTTTCCCAGTATAAAACCTTAGGGCAGAAGGCATTATTTTGAGTGGTGGTGGTCTTTTATTATTTTGATGTGACACGAGCACTTTCATTACAGAGAGAGTGGACTCCAGAGATTGTCATTTCTGGACACTTTGATGGTGTTCAAGACCTTATGTGGGATCCAGAAGGAGAATTTATCATCACAGTTGGCACTGACCAGACAACTCGACTTTTTGCTCCATGGAATAGAAAAGGCCATTCACAGGTAAAATGTTGGCCTACTTGACTGATCCACTTTAAAATACATCCATGAGCATGTGAGAAGTGGGGCCACATCATTAGTCACTAGGGAAATGCAGAGTAAAACTGTGATGAGTTGTCACTACACACCCCCTAGAAAGGCTGAAGTGAAAAATACAGTAACAAGTGGTCACAAGGATACAGAGCTATTGGAACTTTCATATATCATTAGTGGAAATGTAAACAGATACAAGCACTCTGGAACAGTTTGATATTTTCTTAAAATTTTAAACATACACAGTTCAAATAATTCAAATGTTATCGTCAAAATGTATTTACTTCAGTTTCACACAAAAGTGCTGTTATGACTTGTGATTTAATTGGGAAACACTACCAAGTGTACAGTACACGCTACTTTCTAAAGTCATACAGTGTTAGATAATAGAGGTTGAGGGTGATGTTTGTTCAGGCAACTTTTCAATCTTGGCCCTGAGCTCAACAAAATAATAAAGCTTTATTTTTATTTGAACTGTGCTGTGCAGTAGAGAAAGCCAGTATACTCAGCTTCAGTTTTTGACAAAAATTTATGGAGCCTGAATGTGGGTCAGTCAGTGAGAGCTAATGGGATTTGCCACTGACATTATTGCTTTAGTAGCATGTAGTAGATTCAAGTTAATAGGCTTGAGGGCACACGGAGTAATATTATAGTCAATTGAAAGACAAGGCAAATGATTTGGACTGATTTTTCTGTTGCGTTTGCTGATTTGTTAATGGTTCAGTTTTTTATTTACAATCTGTTTTTTAAAATTGATAAATTGGACATAAAAATGTAAAATTTTTGCTCTTTGACAGACTGGAAAATGAGTCACAAATTGGGAGAAAGTATTTATATATCTGAGAAGAACTTATATCCAGAATACTTATAAAACTTTTAAGAATTCAATAATAGGGAAACAGACAGTCCAGTTAAAAAAAAAAAGGATTTGAACAGATATTTCTCCAAGGAATACATATGGCTGGAAAGTAAGAACAGGAAAAGATTCTCAACACCATTAGTCATTAGGGAAATGCAAATTGAAGCTACAGTGAAACACCATTGCACATATTGGGATGATTAAAGGTAAAAGACTGACTAGAGCAACTGTTGGTGAGGGAGGGGGCAACTGGAATTCTCATATACTGCTGTTAGATGTGTAACTGCTTTGGGAAATACTTTGGCAGTTTCTTAAATACTTAGATATTTATCTCCCGTATCATCCAGCCATTCTGCTTATAGGTACTGTTTACCCAAGAGAAGTAGAAGCTTAAATCCATGCGAAGACTTGTGTACAAATGTTCCATGTCTCCTTTTAAGTAAATGACAACTGGAAACAACCCAGATGTCTTATCAGTAGGCAAAGGGATCAGCAAGTACTGGTATAGTCATACAAGGAAATGCTACCCAGCAGTGAGAAGGATTGAACATTGATCAACATGACAGCATGGATGAATCTGCCCCATGGTCATATCTCCATGGCACATTAGAGTGATTTTCAACTGGTGTGTGACAAGAATTGTTAAAATATGCAATACTTGACTATTTAATTTAAAAAAGGGCACTAACCTCTTTTCATTAGATTGTCAGATGAAAATAATGAAAACAGCCAACACAACAATAGCCATCAGTGAATGAATTGAAATTACACCTATTCTCTTCTCAGATTGGCAAAAAATGTATTTTTTGGTGTGCTGCAGAATTTTAGAAATTAGCTTATGTGTGCCATGAGATTAAAAAAGGTTGGAAATCACTGGCATAATAAATGATTTTGTGCCTAATATTTTTTTACTTGTTGAAAAGAATTTGATTTCTTAAAACGTATGATTTTGTTTATTCTATTTTAATACTCAGGTGACTTGGCATGAAATTGCTCGGCCTCAGATACATGGATATGACCTGAAATGTTTGGCAATGATTAATCGATTTCAGTTTGTATCTGGAGCAGATGAAAAAGTTCTTCGAGTATTTTCTGCGCCTCGGAATTTTGTGGAAAATTTTTGTGCCATTACAGGCCAGTCTCTGAATAATGTGCTTCATACTGTGAGTATCTCTTTAAATGTTTTAACTAAATCTAGTCACTTCGTTTTAATTTTTTTTAAAGAAGTCTTATTCTTTTTTAAAGATTTTATTTATTTATTTTTAGAGCTAGAGGAAGACAGGGAGAAAGGGAGAGAAACATCAATGTGTGGTTGCCTCTTGCGCACCCCCACTGGGGACCTGGCCCGCAACCCTGGCATGTGCCCTGACTGGAAATTGAACTGGTGACCCTTTGGTTCACAGGGTGGCACTCAGTCCACTGAGCCACACCAGCCAGGGCATTCATTTTAATTTTTAAAGATTTTGCTTCACCTGGCTGGCGTAACTCAGTGGATTGAGCGTGGGCTGCGAACCAAGTGTCGCAGGTTCAATTCCCAGTCAGGGCACATTGCCTGGGTTGCAGGCCACAGCCCCAGCAATCGCACATTGATGTTTCTCTCTCTCTCTTTCTGCCTCCCTTCCCTCTCTAAAAATAAATAAGTAAAATCTTAAAAAAAAAAATCAAAACTCTATTAAAAAAAAAGATTTTGCTTCAGGCTGTCAATAGAGTATATGGGTAGAAAGGAAGTTAAGTCAGTTTATTATTGGCTTGATGAACTTTTGTGTGAACTGTGGCATGCACTAATTTAAATATTAAATATTTGCTAGCAAAACCAGGAATTTTATAACAAATTGGCTCAAGACACTAAAAAACTTAAATGTTAAAATAAGGTATGAATACTATATATTATCACCATGCTGGGTTTAAGAGTTAGCATACAGTCTCATGTGAGATAATTGATCGATATAAATTGCAGAATTTGAGCAGATTATTGGCATTTCAGGTGGCACTCTATAAAACATTTTAAAAATACTTGATTATTTAAATATGTTTAATGAAAATATGATGCCAGCCTTCTGGGAAACAACTGTGTTTGCATCAGCATCATTAGGGATGCTGTGAGACTCTCTTGGAAGTAGGGCTCCGGGCCTTACATTTTCAGCTCCCTCTTTGCTAGAAGCCTGCCCTGTGCATTTCCTGTCAGACCCCGAAACCCAGTGAGCTGTTAGGGTTCGATGAGCCTGTGGATGAGAGGATGCCCAGCTTTCTGGATTGGGCAGAGGGTTTGGGGGTTTAGCTTGAGCCTCTCTGTTGGAGAGTGTTTAGCATTGCACCTGTTGGTTCAGGAAATGGAAGTGTGCTCAGACACCCGCACAAAGGTGATCTTTAAGCTGCTTCTCAGTACTTACGAGCATGACATTTTTGTAGTGCTTGAGGTAACGGTAACTTTCAGTGTTTGAAACATACATCATACTTTCTATTCCAGCAAGACGGTGAACTTCCAGAAGGAGCTACTGTCCCTGCTTTGGGATTATCAAATAAAGCTGTCTTTCAGGGTAAGACTTTAGCCTCCAAAATTATTGAATCCATAGTGTACATAAAACCTACTTACACACTTGTACAGCCTGTACTTAATATTCATTACAGCCAGTCTTTTTAAAAATATCACAATACATGCATCTGTTTTTATCACATATTTTGTGATAAGTACTCTGTACACATGCAGACCTTGAGGTAGGTGCAGCTTTCACAAAGTGTGTCATGGGGAACTATAACCATGAATGCTAATATGGGTGCCTAAAGAATGTTCCATGGTTTTAAAAGTTTGGGAAATACTAGGTCACAGGAAGGAGTCCCTATATAGTTGACTAGTGCTCCTGCGAGCACATTTATAAAACACTGGAGTAGTAGAAGTAACTGTAGCTTTGGAACCACGTGGATATGGCTTGAGTTACACTACTTTTAAGCGCCATTACTTTCTAACTGATAGCCTTAATATTAGAACATGTGTAGGAGACATAAAGGTGGTGGTGACTGCATTCATGATGTTGTATTTCTTTTGAACTAGGAGATATAGCTTCTCAGCCTTCTGAGGAAGAAGAGCTGTTAACTAGTACAGGTTTCGAGTATCACCAGGTGGCCTTTCAACCCTCCATACTTATTGGTAAGAAATTTAAAAAAGATAATTTAATAGCATTATTAAGTACGTATATTTGTCACAGCTGACCTAAGTGAGTGCTCTACCATTTACTTTTTTTATTTGTATGGAAGTAGAAAAAAAAATAATTGCAGTGCTGTAAATTTATTGTAGAACCTCCCACTGAGGATCAACTTCTGCAGAATACTTTGTGGCCTGAAGTTCAAAAGCTGTAAGTTAAACTTTTAGCAGTTTGATCTGATTTTGTCATAACTTGTGACTCGCCTCCACAACTTGATTTTTTCCTTTGCTTTCCTCTTACGTACATTTCCTGCCCTGCTCTAAAGATCTTTTAGTGGTTTTCATGAGGGGGGAGAATCAAATTTTACATAGATTTTTATATTACTGTGTCTTATATTTACTAGGCTAGTTTGTCACTCTTAATTTTTAAAGTAAAGAAACATATATGTATACACACACACACACACACACACACATAAATATACATTCTCCCCTCCTCTTTTAAAAGAGACTTTCAAGTTTTGTTATTCTGCTTGGTTTTCCTTTGTTGGTTTCCCATTATAAACCTTGCCATGGTTTATTTGCTGTTGTACTGGCTGGCTGGGGGTAAAAACTTGTATTTTAATCTAATTATATGGATAAGTTGTATTACTTCTAGAAAACTGGCATTTTTCTTTAGTCTGTGTGTTTTTCCCCCAAATGTTTGCTTAGAAATTTAATGTTCCCTGCAATAACTGTGTGTTAGATAGAGAGATTGATGTTATTCTTTTCACATTTAAAAATTTTGTAGCATGAGAATATTTACTAATACAGGGGTCATGCATTTTCCCTTTTAAATTTTAGATATGGACATGGTTACGAATTATTTTGTGTTGCTTGTAACAATTCAAAGACTCTACTTGCCTCAGCTTGCAAGGTAGGGAATTTTGCTTTTTTCTTCTACTTGGTCTCAGGTTGAGTCATTGGGCTCCTGCAAGTTTGGTAGCAGTTTAGTCAGCACACTGTGTGAACAGTCCATGGTGCCTGCTTTTTCTGCATCATGCTTTCTCTGTCTCTTTTTATCTGTTTCATCAAAAACTTGCAGTTGTATTTACATCTGTTTCAGTAGTTGCCCTGACTGGTGTTGCTCAGTGGTTGGGCATCATCCTGCAACCAGAAGGTTGCCAGTTTGATTCCCAGTCAGGGCACAGGCCTGGGTTGCAGTCAGGTCCCCAGGTGGGAGCGTGCAAGAGGCTACTGATCGATGCTTCTCTCTCACATTGATGTTTCTCTCTCTTTCTTTTTCCTTCCCTTATCCTCTCTCTAAAATAAATACAACATTTAAAAAAAATCTATTTCACCTGCACATTTTTATTCCTAAATATTTGATTTGAACTGATTTATGCCTCTACTCAAAAATTAACCAGGTATCTTAAAAATGAGACCTGAAAACATGATACAGTTAAAATAGTTAGAGTCCTGGAGACACATAGGAATGAGAAGAGGGCACTCCATTGGAGGTTTCTTGAGGACACTCTTGGTACAGACCTATAGGTGGAGTCCCTCTGCCCATGCAAGGGTGAGGCGGTGGGTGGCCTGCTCAGCTAGCCACCAGCATGAAACTGTCAAATAGTGCACTTCACATGTTGGCCTGGGAGACTTATCTAGAACTATTTAGTATTCATCCATTTGCTGTGGAGTGAAATGATATTTATAAAGGCTTGCCTGAAGGGTCTGAGACCTACACAGTCCTCTAAATTTTCTAAAGTTTATCTACTTGATTTAAGCATGGCGATGGGAGCTGTCAATCTATGTGGTCCACTGTCCCTGCTTTTGCTGTGGCTTCTTGCCACTGGCCTGCATTGAGAGGCATCATAAGAGATTGATGTGCCCTGCTCCTCTACCCCGCTTGCTTGTTGTCCCCTCTGTGAGGATGGTACCGAGAGTACTTCCTTCTCTTACAGGGGCCTGTGGGAAGAATGGAGCTTAGTAGCAAGAATAGCTGTGCTTCTACTGAGCAGCTGATTTGTTTTTGCTTAGGGCACTGTTAATCATGTGAGTGATTATTTTTTCAAGTTGGCTCACTTGAAGCAAGCATGTGCACCTGACTTTTTTTTTAATTGTGTACTTTTCCTCTGTTTTATATTTTAGTACAATGGAAAAGAGGCGTGGTTGATAATGTAGTTTGGGAAGTTCAAATCTGAATGTTTGTGTAAACTCACCTGCTCAATAGAAGGACCCATGGAAACTCCTAGTAGCCTTACCCTCTAGGCATCAACCTGAAGGTAGCTGGGTTTCCTAATGAAGGTTTTGTTTTGTTTTGACTGGTAGAGCAAATGATTAGATGCATCTTTATTTTAAACTAATGTTTTTAACAGCTTTATTTAGATGCTATTACTGTTCTATAAGTTGCATGTTGAAAGTGAAAAATTTGATGTTTTAACAAATCTTTATACCAGTGAAATTATTAGCAAACTCAAGATAATCTACATATCCATCAATCCCCCAAATTTTATCTGCCCCATGACAATTTTTTCCAACCCCTCCTTACCCTCTCCAGCCTCCTTCCATAGAAGACCACTCATCTGCTTTTTGTCATGATAGAGTACTTTGCATTTTCTAAAATTTTGTATAATTGGAATCATACAGTATGTACTCTTTTGCGGGGGAGTGTCTGGCTTTTTTCATCCACGTTGCATGTATCAATACTTCATTCTATTTTTGTTGCTGAATAGTTTTCCCTTTTATAGACATACCACAATTTGTTGATCCATTCACTTTTTAATGGACATTTGAATTGTTTACAAAATTTTTGGCTTTTACTGGTACAGTCATTATGAGTATTGGTGTACAAATTTGCATGGATATATACTTTTATTTCTTTTGAGTAAATACCTAAGAGTGGAATTGCTAGGTGATTTGGTATATGTACATTTACATTTTTAAGAAACTGGCAATGTATTTTCCAAAGTGGTTATACCATTTCACAAGCCCACCAGCAATATAGTAGAGTTCTAGTTGCTCCACGCCCTCGCCAACACTTGGCGTGGTCGCTCCTTCTGACCATTCTCATAGGCTAATAGGTGTGTAATATTTCATTGTGGCTCCATTTGCTTTTGCTTAATGTGCCAGTTGTCCATTTATATATCTTCTTTAATGAAATATCTTCAATATTTTGCCCATTTCTTTATTAGATTGTTTTATTGCTGAATTTTGAAAAGTTCTTTATGTACATTGGATCAACCATCAGATGTGTGCTGTGTAGATAATTATTCCGAGTGGCTTTTCTTCTCAGTTTCCTAAGAGTGTTGTTCAAAGAGCAGAAGTTGTATGATTTGATGAAGTCTATTTACCATTTTTTCCATATTAGTTCGCGTTTTTTTGTTTGTTGTAATGTAGATGTTTACTACTATAGATTTCCCTCTAAGCGTAGTTTTTGAGGCATTGCGCAAATTTTCATTTTCATTTAATTAAAAACACTTTTCTAATGTTACTTCGATTTCATATTTAAACTGTAGTTGATTTTGAAATGTATTAGTTTCTGTATTCTGAGTGTTTTCTAGTTATCTTTCTGCTACTGACTTCTAATTTAATTTCATTGTGGTCAGAGAACAAATATGATTTAAATCTTTTAAAATTTCATCTTGGTAAATTTCCATGCTCACTTTGAAAAGAATGGGTTCTATTTCTGCTGGGTGGAGTGTTCTGAAAATACGAGTCATGTCTGATTGCTCAATAGCATGGTTAAACTCTTTGTCCTTTCAGTTCTATTGAGAGTGTCATTGTGAAGTTTATGATTTTAACTGTGGACTTGTCTTTTAATCCTTGCAAGTCAGTCAGTTTTTACTTTATGTATTTTGAAGTCTGTTGTTAAAACATTCTTCATTGTCATATTTTCTTGATTAATTGACCCTCTTTAATTTCTGGTAATATTTTATACTTTGAAAATCTACTTTGTTGTTAATATAGCCACTCTAGCTTTCTTTTCAGTAGTGCTTGAATTTACATATCTTTTCTCATAATTTTATTTTTAAGCTGTTTGTTTTCTTTTATTTCCAGTGGGTTGTAGAGGGGCAGCATGGAGTTGGGTCTTGCTTTTTTACTCATCTTTTTAATTTTTCATTTTAATAGGGCTTTTCTTAAACCATTTATCTTTTTAAAAATATTTTATTTATTTATTTTTAGAGATGGGGAGGGAGGGCAAAAGAGAGGGAGAGAAACATCAATGTGTGGTTGCCTATTACATGACCTCCAGGGGGGACCTGGCCTGCAACCCAGGCATGTGCACTGACTTGAACTTGGGACCCTTTGGTTCCCAGCCTGTGCTCAATCCACTGAGCTACACCAGCCAGGGTAAACCTTTACCTTTAATGTTGTAATTGATATGGTAAACTATAAATCTGTCATCTTGCTATTTGCTTTCTACTTGATCCATCTGTTCTTTGGTCCATTTTACTTAGATTGGATTAATTGATTACTTCTTCTGATTTTACTTTATCTCTTCTGTGTGGTCAGTAGATATACATTTTTGTTGTGTTATTTTATTGGTTGTTTTACATTTTCATAGTATACATCTTTAATTTACCGCAGTCTGCCTTCAAGTAATATTGTACTATTTTATATACAATTTAAGAACTCTACAGAAGTATACTTTGGTTTTCCCTTACTTTGTGGTATTGTTGTACATTTTACTTATTCATAGAAATCCCATAACATATTGTTATTTTTGTTTTGGCCCGTCAGTTATCTTTTAGAGATTTAAGTAATTAAAAAATTCCCATCAGATATCATTTTCCTTCTGCCTAGACCATATTCTTTTACATTCTTCGTAATGTAATTCTGCTAGTCATGAATTTTTTTCAGACTTCGTTAGCCTGAAAACTATTTCTTCATTTTTTGAATCATATTTATGGTGGGTAAAGAATTGCTGGTTTTCCTTTTGTATATTAAAACATTGCTACATTTTATTTGGACATGCATTATTTCTCATGAGTCTGCTGTATTTTGTCTTTGTTCCTCAGTAATGGATTTTTTCTCTCCAAATGCAATTCATATTTATTGCTGGTTTTAAACAATCTGAGTATTGTTGGACAGTTTTCTTCATGTTTCTTGTGCTTGGGTTTTGTTGAACTCCATAGATCAATAGGTACTATTTTCATCAAATTTGGAAAATTTTCAGCCATTATCTTTTTTAAGTATTTTTTTCTTCTCATCCTTTCTGGGGGCTCTAGTTACACCTATATTTAACTGCTCGAAGTTGTCATAGAGTTTGGTGATAATCTTTCCCCCCCCCCACTCTGATTCATTTTGTCTCTCAAAGATCAATGTTCTTTGTTTACAGATATCTCAGTTTTGATGTGCCATCATTTTTATGTATTTTGTCTGGATTTTTAGGGTTTTTTTGCACAAGAAAGTAAAATCTGATCCTGTTATTTCATATTGACTAGAAGTGAATGTTATTTTTTTAAACATTTTATTTAATTGTAGAGAAAGGGGAAAGGAGGGAGAAAGAGAGGAGAGAAGCATTGATATGTGACAGATAGAGATACATGGATCTGTTGCCTCTGGCACACACCAAGTGGGGACCTGGCCTGCGACCCAGGCACAAGCCCTGACTGGGAATCAAACTAGCATCTTTTTGGTTTATAGGTGAGCACTCAGTCCACTGAGCCACACCAGCCAGGGTGAAGTGAAAATCTTTAAACTATTGTTTCATTTCTCTCCTGCAGGCAACTAAGAAAGAGCATGCAGCCATCATTCTTTGGAACACTACATCTTGGAAACAGGTGCAGAACTTAGTTTTCCACACTCTGACTGTCACACAGATGGCCTTCTCACCTAATGACAAGTTCTTACTGGCTGTTTCCAGAGATCGGACCTGGTCACTATGGAAAAGGCAGGACACTATCTCACCTGAGTTAGGTAAAAACAGTTTCTGATTAGGAAGATTATTAGACGGGTATATCCATTTTGTCCACCTTGAGCAGCTATTGGGTGAAGAGCAACAAAAATGGTAACAGGTGAACGACTGAGTCTCACAGTTGTGAAGTCTTTCAAAATTCTGTTATAATTGAGGAAGACTTGGCCTTCCTTGTAAGATTTCAGTGCAGGTGGTCTTTGGGTTGACTTCTTTGTGACTATGTAGTCAGGATGGCATGTATTCAGACATCTTAGTTAAAGAAACATAAAAACCTGTATGTAGAAAATTCGTTTTTGCTAGTGGTTATAGAATGCTACCATAAAACCAAATGGATGGCATATTCCAATCTAGGGATTTATGGGAGAGGAATAATGAAGATAAAAACTTAGAAGGAAAATTATCTTTATCCATTTCCTACCCAATCCTGTCACTTTGATAATAGGGAAGGGTGCTTTAGGCAGCCGTGTGTGAAAAACCCCTGGGCAAGATGTTAACACTCCTACCTGCATTCTGTGCTGAGCCTGGCAGAGATTTAAAAAAAGAGAGAGAAAGGAAAAGCTTTGTTTTGTTTCCACAGTGGCCATTCCTGTTCCCCGTTTCTTTGGGTAAAATCTAGAGAGTGTTTAAAGTATCTCCGTGTTGTTTACACCTACTTTTCATTTTCTATTTTCATAATAACCTGCATTTATTTTGATCTTGTGACATTTCTAATCCCTTAGTTTCTTGTCTTAGAGAATACCAGGAACTATGGCATGTACTCGCTTGGCATTATGTGTTAGAAAAGACTTTCTCTTGCAATTAACTAGTGATTTTCTGACATGCAACCTTTACTCTTTAAAATATTAAAGTGATACTAGTAACATATCCATTAATTTGCTTTATCTTTATGGATTATGGATTAATAGATGCCTTCCTCTTCCCTCCTCATAAGCAGTTATGTGTTTTAGGTTTAGTCCATATAAGAGCTGTAAGTTACCTTGGATTTAAATCTTACAAAGGAATAGTTTTTTTTAAAGTTTGGGTTTTTTTTAAACATTATTTAAGGGAACATTAATCTTTTTTCCACAGCTTAATATGCAAATTTGGCTGTTTCCTGAGTAAGGTAAATTGCTTGAGGTTTCTACCCTAGGCGTAAATTGAACTGTTAGCTGCATGCCCAGAAGATGTTTGTTGTCAGTCACTGGAGAGTGACTAGTTGATATAAAATCATTTTCTACTAGAACAATAACTGTGTTCCCATAACCTCTGGTAAGGGGTCATTTGTGTAGCATTGGTCTGTTGCAAAAGTCAGCATATGTAAATTGAATATGGCACTTAAAAATAGCTTTTTAACAGGCAAAAAAAAAGCCAAAACAGCCTCCTCTGCTTTGTGAGTAGAACCTGCATGTTTCTTTCAGACCCAATTTTCAGTCTCTTTGCCTTCACCAACAAAGTCACTGCTGTGCACAGCAGAATTATTTGGTCTTGTGATTGGAGTCCTGACAGCAAGTTTTTCTTCACTGGAAGTCGGGACAGAAAGGTAATGTTTAAAATTTTAATATTTTTTCAAATGTAAAATGATGTTATTACAGGTATATTTGGATAGAAACCACATAATCCTCACTTGCTGATACAACTTTTAAAAACTGATTTATGTATTTCCTCTTTGTTTTTCATATGCATACATAAAAAAGTATTTTCTTGTTAAAATCTGTAAGTACATTTCTTTGAAATCTCAAATATAAGAAGACCTTTTAAACCCACAACCTGAATCAAATGTCCCAAGTGGGAGAAAAGTAGTAAATGAAATGGATCAAGACTAAGAAAGTGGGAGAGCAGGAGCAGGGCAAGGGGGCCTCGGGGGGGATCGCATTTCTACTTTTTTTTTTCATACTTTTATGAGTGAAATTTTGTTCCTGTAATGAATGATTGTTACCTTTTCTTTTTCTTTTTCTTTTTTTTAAGATTTTATTTATTTATTTTTTAGAGAGGGAAGGGAGGGAGAGAGAGAGAGAGAGAGAGAAACATCAGTGTGCAGTTGCTGGGGGCCGTGGCCTCCAACCCAGGCATGTGCCCTGACGGGATCGAACCTGCCATGCTTTGGTTCGCAGCCCACACTCAATCCACTGAGCTACGCCAGCCAGGGCGATTATTACCTTTTCATTCAGTGGTGAGAGAGAGAGAGGGGAGGGAGGGAAGGAGGGAGAGAGAGTCCGTCTAGGCTGGCACACTTAGGTAGTTAAGGTCTCAGAGACTTGTGTCTGCTATACTGTGGCTTCTCTGTGATACTTAAAGTGCTTTTAAATCGACACAAATGTAAGTGCTGAATATTTTTGAGTGCCAGAACAGGTATTTTGCATTGTCTGTGATGCTGAAACTCTCTAATGGATTGCCGGAAGCCTTACCGAGGGAAAGCTTTACAGAGTTTGATCTTTTTTTGCTAGGTGGTTGTCTGGGGGGAATGCGACTCCAGCGATGACGCCATCGAGCACAGCGTTGGTCCCTGCTCCTCCATCCTGGACGTGGGTGGGTCTGTGACAGCCGTCAGTGTCTGCCCCATGCTTAACCTTTCCCAACGGTTAGTCTCTGTGTGGGGCTTCCTTATATGTTTCCTTTAAGACCACCACTTGGTTTGTCAATGTGTAGCCCACTTACACTTTCATTCATGCGTTCTCTCAGCTTCCGAGCTGCTACTTTTTTTCCCATAATGCTTATGTTTCTCATAAGAATTTGTAAATTGATAGAACTTGATAATATTCAAAGTGGTGAAGGGAGATTGGGAGTAGAACTGAAAGGTTCTTACTTCACCAAATTCGGGACTGTGGTGCTTTCTGTGAAATAAGTGTCTTCAGCAGAACAAGGGCCCCTGTGCAGCCAGCCAGGGAAACATTGGTTCTCGGGCTTTGCCAGTGGAAGACAGCGGTAAAACTGTGGGCCCCCTCAATGGAAAGGAGGCTCCTTGAGGGCACAGTATAGCAGTGTGCCGTATTCTGGGCTGGTGGCTTTAAACAGAGGCCTTTGTAAGCATGGGGCAGTTGGGAACACTGAAGAACTACTTTAGGATGATGATGGAGATGATAGAAATTCATGCTGCATTAATAACTGCCTTCCTCCCTTCTTAAAATAGATACATTGTTGCAGTAGGATTAGAATGTGGAAAGATTTGTTTATACACCTGGAAAAAGACTGATCAAATTCCAGAAGTAAATGACTGGACTCACTCTATAGAAACAAGTCAGAGGTATTTTCTTCCTATTTTTGCTTCTATCAGACTAAATCGAAATAACTTGAGCCACAAATTTTGTGTCACATTTGCATGGAGAAGGACAGAAATCTGTATTTCTGGTGCCCACCAGTAAGTGGTCCCCTTGTGTTCTTTGGTATAATTTCTTAAAACTGGTGTGTGTTGCCAAATGGCTCTTGGTTTTTAAAAGTTTACTTGACCAGATTGCTTGTTTGTATAATATTATTTTTACAGATAACACATTTGAGAAAAGTGATTTTCATAATGATGTATTTTAAAATTTGATAAAATTAATTCAAAATGTTGGTGATTTTTTGTAATACTGACTGGTTTTGGTGGCATTTGAACACTTCAGCTCAGGTCCAACAGTGGAGCAAACTGTCAGGTACCCCCTCAAAGCCCTGTGACTAACCTGTACCCAGGCCTCACACCCTGGGCATGGGGATCTGCCACGGGAGCTGGGTCAGAGGACCTGCTCTTCAGAACATCCTCTCTACCTCCACCTGCCCAGAGAATAGGGACCGATTATTTATTTATTTATTTATTTATTTATTTATAAAAACCATCAGTATTTTTTAAGGGTTTTATTTCTTTTATTTATTTATTTGTTTATTTATTTTTAGACAGAGAATGGAGGGAGACAGAGAGGGAGAGAAACAACAGTGTGTGGTTGCCTCTTGTGTGTCCCCTACGGGGGACTTGGCCTGTAACCCAGGCATGTGCCCTGACTGGGAGTTGAACTGGTGACCCTTTGGTTCGTAGGTCAGCGCTCAGTCCACTGAGCTACACCAGCCAGGGCAGGTATAATTTTTTAATTTTATCTTTTTTTACACATTTCACTCCTTAAAACCATCTAACCTTCTAGAAAGGTCACCAACGTCATTCTGTATCAGATTTTCTTAGGATTCTTCAACTTCCATATATCTGAACTGTTCAGAATATAATTTAAAAAATGATTCTAAATAGCATTTCATGATGAGATGATTGGCTTTAAGGAGAGAAACTTGTGAGCATGTCTCTTACACGACGTTTCATCCTGGGGAACTTGTCTCCTTGCCCACAAAGTGTGTTAGTGCTCATTATAACTGTATTTGTTAAAATGAAATCTGCCTTTATTACTGCTGCCCTCATGGCTTCTCTCCTGCCTCTCTGATGCTGCAGTTAGCAGTTGAAATAGTTCATGCTGTTGGCTTACTGAAGAGGGAAGTATTCCAATGAAATTCTGTATTGTAGGCATTTGAAATCTTTCTTCCTGGCTTCCCCTCCCTTTTCTTTTCCTTCCTTTCCCCTTGCCTGCCCACAGTGCTGTATCTGCCTTTGCCTGGTACCCAGACCACTTCCATGGCCTGAATGTGGGAGGGACACTGGCAGGAAGTCCCTTAGAAAGCACAGGCAGGTGACATGTACAGAATTTTAGTTTCTCATTGTAAGATTTTTTTAAGTCATTATGGTGATTTTGAATTTATAAGGACTAATTCCTGACTTTCTGACTTAACACATTATATTAATTGGATTGCTAATGTTTCAATTACCAAATTTCAAGTAACTTTCAAATGATTACTAGCAAACTTTTTGGCCCATGCCCAAACTTTTTGCTAGTAATGAGACACAAAGATAGTTGAGAAGCAAAGACTTTCTTTTAGGTTTGTTCCCCCTACTCCCTGTGTTCTAAATGTCAGATGTAGTAACATGATGGGTTTAGAGAATATCAAAAAAAAAGAAACCCTCCTTCTCAACGTTGTGTAGGCAGATAAGTAGAGTCTCTCAGAGCAACTCCCCTGGGAAGCAGTATACTCCATACACACACTCGTTTCAGTGATGTCACTTCCTCAGATCATTCTTTGAACTTCTGTTTAGGAACTGCGTTCAGAACTAGCTTACCAGATGCAAGAAGCTAACTATAATACCTCTTATAGTTCTCATTTTGATTGCATTTTTTAAAGCTCATCTCCAAATGACTTAACAGCTTTCAGCAATCAAATTCATCCTCACACAAAGATGACCTATCATTGATAGTACTCAAGTCATAGCCTGTATAATATAATATGGAAGCATTTCCTTTAGAAGAATTTTGGGGAGCATTGAGGCACGGCAGCAGGTAACCTCCCAGCGGGAGGCCACTTGCAAGGGTTTGCAATCATTTGGTTGCATAGGTTCTGGAATGCTAATTTAAAAATGTGTTTTATACCTCAAGATTATACTTTAGTCCTACCTTTGAACCTGAGAGTACATCTGGTAACACATGTTCTCAGCATTTGAAGGTATAATTTGTGTGCTGTGGCATTGCTTTCAGTATTTACTGCCTTAAAATCTAACTTTTTTACTTTATTACTTTTTGGTTTAGAGGTCTAATTTGCTGGTTAAATTTACAGAGGGTACTCTATTTTCACAGAGATTTACCAATGATCTGTGTTTGGGAGCATTGCAGGTCTGCCAATGGGGGTGGGGATGGGCATTAATATGAGTTTCTTGCTCAAGGTCATGCAGTTGAAGATTACATTGGAGACCAAGATTCTTTCACTGGGCAGTTGATTAAATCTTTCACTGTCTTTCCTTACCCAGCAGTAAAAATGTAAGAGTCCATCCACGTCATAGGGGTGTCAGAAGAGTAAAATTATCTAGAATTATTGTCTTAAAGTCTGATTTAATAGCTGTGTCATGCATTCCACTGATCATTAAAATTTGGTGGTATCCTTGGTTAGTAAATGATATATTAACAGTTTTAAGTAAAAGGTGTTTTCAAGGTTAGAATAAAATGGCTGAAATATTAGTGATAGTATTTTAGAATCTATACATTCTGACTTTTCAGGTTTTGACTTTGGTTTATGTTAACAATATTAATGGTTAAATTAATATGTAGGTGAGCACCTAGAAAAATATTTTGTAGTCATAACATGCATTCATTTCATGCTTTCTCTGTGTCTGTTTTAGCCAAAGCCATACACTTGCTATCAAAAAATTATGCTGGAAGAATTGTAATGGAAAAAGTGAACAGAAGGAAGCAGAAGGCACCGAGTGGTTACATTTTGCAAGCTGCGGCGAAGATCATACTGTGAAGATACACAAAGTAAACAGAGGTGCACTATAATGGACTTCATAACTACAAATGTGTAACATTGGTGTCTTAAAATATTTGTCATAGATACCCTGTCTTCATAATTTCACTGAGTTTTCATTTGTAAGTTCTATAGGAGTAGTATTAATTTGGGTCATAGACCCTTTGAAATAATGATGAAAGCTTCAGGCTCTTCATTCAGTATAGTTATATATGCAGACACCCAGAACCATGCCCATACTTTTAGGAATTCAGACCTGCATCCATGTGTTCCAAATAAGAACCTCCACTCTTTCTTTATGACCAAACTTGCCTAATTGTGTGCTTTTTGGGGCCTTCTCTTTTCATATGACCCTCTTTGGGACATTTCATTATTTATTACCTTCTTCAAAGGGAGGACATAGAAAATAGAAAGAGATAAAAGCCAGATTACTCAATTTTTATTTGAACAGTTTTTGTAAAAAAACAGACCACACACAAAGCGTAGCCCTGACCCCTTCTTCCCAGTACACACAAGCAATTTTAGGAATTTGGCAGGCTGTTGGGACTTTGAACTGCCATCAGCCATTTCTTTATTTGTTAAAAATACTTGCATTCTTCTTTTAGGGTGTGACTTTAATTTGATAGACGTAGGAGCTGAGAAGTTGAGTTCTGAATCATTTGATTTTATGTGAAGTTATAAATAAGTCATGAGAGAAAAGGATGTCCTCCAGGGAGAATGCGTAGTAGAAGCAGAGGGAAGAAGGAGCTAGAAACAGAATGTTGGGTGTGCCAGCTGAGGTTTGGGAGGTGGGCACAAGAATTGGGTAGAGAGGGGTTAAGAGGGGGTGTGAGAGGTACTACAAAGACTGGTGTGAGAGAGGAGGTTTGCCCCGACCCTCTTAGAACATGGAGTCATCTGGCAAATTGGTAGTTAAATGAATGCTGTACGTAATAAATGTGCTGAAAGATTGGAAATGAGGGTTTTCTAGTGCAACTTCATGCCATTATCTAACATGACATCTTGCTTCCAAAAATGTTAAGTGGTGTTTTGTCTAAATTGAGATTTTTAGACAAGTGCTATCTAGTATTTCTTAGTCCAATAGAAGAATAATGTGAGTTGCATATGTAATTTAAAATTTTTTAGTAGCCGTATAATAAAAGTAAATATAATCAGGTAAAAATAATTTACTTTTATTTATTTTTTTTATTTTATTATTTTTTAAAAGATTTTATTTATTTTTAGAGAGGGGAGGGAGGGAGATAGAGAGAAACAACAATGTGCGGTTGCTGGGGGTTATGGCCTGCAACTCAGGCATGTACCCTGGCTGGGAATTGAACCTGGGATACTTTGGTTCCCAGCCCGTGCTCAATCCACTGAGCTACGCCAGCCAGGGCTAACTTTTATTTTTTAAAAATATATTTTGTTGATTATACTATTACAGTTGTCCCATTTTCCCCTCTTTATTCCCCTCCACCCTACACACCCCCTCCCACCCGAATTCCCCTCCTTTAATTCAAGTCCATGGGTCGTACATATAAGGTCTTTGGCTTCTACATTTCCTGTACTATTCTTAACCTCCCACTATTTTCTACCTACCATTTATGCTACTTATTCTCTGTACCTTTCCCCATCTGTTTCCCTCCCCTTCCCCCACTGATAACCCTCCATGCAGTCTCCATTTTTGAGATTCTGTTCCTGTTCTAGTTGTTGGCTTAGTTTGTTTTTGTTGTGTTTTGTTTTTTACATTCAGTTGTTAATAGCTGTGAGTTTGTTGTCATTTTACTGTTGATATTTTTTATCTCTTTTTTTCTTAGATAAGTCCCTTTAACATTTCATATAATAAGGGCTTGGTGAAGATGAACTCCTTTAACTTGACCTTATCTGGGGAACAGTTTATCTGCCCTTCTATTCTAAATGATGGAGTAATCTTGGATGTAGATCCTTGCCTTTCATGACTTTGAATATTTCTTTCCAGCCCCTTCTTGCCTGTAAGGTTTCTTTTGAGAAATCAGCTGATAGTCTAATGGGAACTCTTTTGTAGGTAACTCTCTCCTTTTCTGTTGCTGCTTTTAAGGTTCTCTCCTCTTTCATCTTGGGTAATGTAATTATGGTGTGCCTTGGTATATTCCTTCTTTAGTCCAACTTCTTTGGTACTCTCTGGGTGTCCTGGACTCCCTGAAAGTCTATTTCCTTTGCCAGATTGGAGAAGTTCTCCTTCATTATTTTTTCAAATAAGTCTTCAATTTCTTGGTCTTCCTCTTCTCCTTTTGGCACCCCTATGATTTGGATGTTGGAACATTTAAAGATGTCTTGGAGATTCCTAAGCTTCTCCTCATTTTTTTAAATTCTTGTTTCTTCATTCTGTTCTGGTCGAATGTTTCTTTCTACCTTCTGCTCCAAACCCTTGATTTGCATCCTGGTTTCCTTCCCGTCACTGTTGGTTACCTGTAGATTTTTCTTTATTTCACATGATGTGACCGTCATTGCTGCCTGGGTCTTTTTTATGCTGTCAAAGTATCCAGTGAGTCACAGGAGCATCCTGGTAACCAGTGTTTTGAACTGTGCGTCTGATAGGTTGGCTATCTCTTTGTTGCTTAATTGTATTTTTTCCTGGAGCTTTGATCTGTCTTTCATTTTGGACATTTTTTTGGTCTTCCAGGCCTGTTATGGAGTAAGGGGCGGAGCCTTAGGTGTTCACCACGGCGGGGCAACCTGCATGGCTGCATTGTGGTGATATAGGTGCGAGAGGGGTCTGAAAGGGAACAATGCCGCTTGTTCCACTGTCTGCCGATTTTCATTCACTTCCCACAATCCACAACCCACTACCCACAATCAAATTGGGCCCTTCTGGTGCTGATTTCTTGGTGGGTGGGTTTGTGTGCATTCCAGGACCCTGTGGATCTCTCCAATGAACTCTCCTGTGAGGCTGGGAGTTTCTCCCGCTGCCGCCTCAACCCCCACAGGTATTTTCAGTCAGAGGCTTTGAGACTTTATTTCCCTGCGCTGGGACCCTGGGTTGCTCCCCAATTGTTCCTTCTGGTTTACCCACACTCGAATGTGGGACCATCTGCTCCACCAGCCACCACCTTAACTGGTCCTCCAGTTGCCGCCTTGCTGTGAGTCCTCTCTGCCCCTCCTACTGGTCTGGATAAATGTGTCTTTAACTCTTCGGTTGTTCGAATTCCATACAGTTCGATTTTCTGTCATTTCTAGTGGTTTTATGTTTTTAAATTTGTTGTTGTCCTTCTTTTGGTTGTGCGAAGAGGCACAGTGTGTCTACCTACACCTCCCAGGTAAAATTTATTTTAATGACATATTTGTTTTGACCCAGTATATCCAAAGGAGTATCATTTCAATATACCACCATAAAAGATTTTGTATTATATTTTGTACAATGTACACTGCATTTACGGGGGGGGGGGCCAAAAACCCCCCAGAATTTATTTATAAAAAACTATGTATTCTTACATGTTTAAACATCAGTCACCTTCAAAGTATTCTCCATTTGATGCAATACACCTATCGAGATGTTTTTTCCACTGCTCAAAACAGTTTTTGAACTCTTCGATGTTGATGCCTTTTAGTGCTCCTGCCGTTTTTTGTTTCACATCTTTCACATTGACAAAATCTTTCTCTTTGAGGACATTTTTCACCTGGGGAAACTCCAAAAAAGGTCATTTGGGATGAGATCAGGTGAATGGGGAGGGTGGGGCATGGGGTCAGCAGTTTTAGGTCAAAAACTGCTGAACACTCAGTGTGGTGTTGGCAGATGTGCTCCTAAATCACCCAGCATGAAATGGGTAAACACAGTGAGTCTTAAAAAAAATTAACTGAAGCTGATTGCAGCCTCTCACAACAATGCCAGCAGGTGAACTGGTACAGACGGGTTCCTAGAACACTCACCTAGCAGGGGAATCCTATACTACAAGGAGTCCACCCTCCAGAAGATAATTCCAGGATTTTTGGGGGTGCCCCTTTGTATTATACACTTACAGCCCATCTTAATTCCTACTGGCCATATTTCAGGTGCTCTGTAGACACATGTGTCTAGTGACCGTCCTATTTGCAGTTCTAGATGATTGAGTCTATATAAACTTGTTTCTCAGGCGTGTGTGTGTGCATGCACCAAGGCAGTGAGCATCTGAGCTGCCCAACCTCAGACGTCAGGGTGCCCCGAACTACTATTTCCTTGCTTATCAGCTGAAGGGGCTGAGTCTTTAACCCCACTGGCACACGGGGATTTCTTCATCCCATGTATGCTGGATTCCAGAGCAGATTCAGTGGGCTTAGTCCCGTAGAGCCCCTCCAGCACAGAACTCAACCCTGAAGTTTCCCTGAAAGCAGGCCTAGTCTTGGAAGACTGAGTTTGTGGTTGGTTATTGTTAGTTGAGTTTGTAGACAGACAGCTGTCCCAGTTTGTCCTAAAGCATCTTCCTTAGTCACCTGGGTAGTTCAGTTCAGTAAGTGTTCAGAGGTCTTGGGCAGTCTGCATAGCAATTTATTTGTGCACGTTGTAATTTTACACACACAAGTCTTAATCTGCTGAAGGAGCACCCTTTGAACCATAGTGTAAGTCATTTGTAATGTCTAAAACAAAAAAGCAGTCTTAGACCTTTGCTTCAGAGGAGCTGAGGAATATTTTAGAATCTGCAAGCTGCCCTTCCCCATTGCCCCTGCTATCTCATTTCACTGCTTGGTTCACAGCACAAAGTTCAGATTGATGCCAAGCGCCAGCCCGAGCAGTTGCTGTCTTCTGCCCTATACAACTTTCCTACATGTAGGAGAGGTGGTTGGGCTGCTGTTCCAGGTACATGTTTATCTTGGACAGCAAGGAGCCAAATCACTATCTTCCCAATAGCCTCAGGGGAAGCAGAGTTGGTTATTGATGCCAAGGGTTGAGTGTGGGAATTAGAGGGAGACTGCAAATTCAGGAATGAAATAAAAGGACAGAATTACTCTTTTAAATTAGAAATCCTGGGTTGTCTGTAGAAAACTCATAGAAAATCCTGGGCTGTCTGTAACAGGAGTGCAAGGGCTTCTACACCAACTTTTGTACCAATTTTATGTATTTCTCAAGGCAGGCTAGGTGAGGGTTGGAACCTGGCCTTAAGGAACCAGAAATGTGTTTGAATCCTGGCTCACACTGGCTATACCTGAGGGAAAGCTTTACCCCTCATCTCTGTAAATGGAGATAAAAGTAGTGGTTCAGTCTGACGAAGGTGCAAAATGTTCTTTTTGGTGTATGCAAGATGTGTTTGGTGTTTTCTCTCTCAGAAGGAATCAAGGTAGGGAGACTTCTCAGTGTGACCAGGGGACTCAGGCTTTTTTCCTTGCTGCCTGCCATCGTCAGTGTGTGTCTTCCTCACTGTCCAGAGGGGCAGCTTGACCTCTTGCCATGATGTCTGTAGCCAAGCCAGCAGAAAGAAGGAAGACATAGGAAAAGGCTTGCCCCCAACTTCAAGAAAACTTGGAAGTCCACACAGTTCTGCTTAATCTCTACGGCCAAAATTTAATCGTGTGGTGCTATCTCAAGAGAAGCAGGGAAATATAATTGCAGATCATTATGTGCTCGGCTAAGAAGTGAGGTGCTTTATTCTGTAAGACAGAACAAATGTTAGTCTCATTTTGTAAAAAATAACCACTTCGTAGGGGTTTTTTGAGGAATAAATGAGCCAGTACATGAAAAACACTAGCCCAGGGCGTGGATATATATAGATGCTATCAATTGGTGATTGTTATTTTACAATGAAAGCTCAGCCCATGTTGCCTCCCTAGGGCCTTTCTTTTTAATTTTTTATTTATTTATTTTTAGAGAGGGAAGGGAGGGAGAAAGAGAGAAACATCAATATGCGGGTGCTGGGGGCCATGGCCCGCAACCCAGGCAGGCGCCCTGACTGGGAATCAAACCTGCGACACTTTGGTTCCCAGCCCGCGCTCAATCCACCGAGCTACGCCAGCCAGGGCCCTAGGGCCTTTCTTAATCCCTTTTTCAAATATTCTTTCCTTTCTCTGAATTCCATAGTATTTTATTCTCATTTTGTTTTATGGCATTTCTTATTACTATCTTTTATTTATGTATCTTTTAAGCTGTGTTGATTAGATGCCTTTTGTGGTAAGAAAGTTTGTCTCAAAGTGATACAAGGAATTATTGACTCACATAACTGAAACAAA